GGAGGGAAGGAGAGAAAGAAGGAAAGAAGAAGGGTAGAGAAGGAAGGAAGGAGGGAGAGAATGAAATAAAAAAGTGAAAGAGGGAAGGAAGGAGAGAAGGAAAGAAAGAAAGAAAGAAAGAAAGAAAGAAAGAAAAGAAAGAGGGAGGGAGGGAGGGAGGGAGGGAGGGAGGGAGGGAGGGAAGGAAGGAAGGAAGGAAGGAAGGAAGGAAGGAAGGAAGGAAGGAAGGAAGGAAGGAAGGAAGGAAGGAGACAAGGAAGGGTGGAACCAAAGAGCAAAGGAAGCAAGAAAGAAACAGGTAGAGAAGGAAGAAAGAAGGGAAAGAAAAAGAGGGAAGGAAGGAAAGAGGGAGGGAGTGAAGGAAGAGAAAGAAAGGAGAGAAAGAGGGAGGGAAGGCTGGCCACAGCAACGCAAGGTGGGTACAGCTAGTATATAAATTAAAATGTTCGTTTGTGGGATTAACAGAACTCAAAAACCACTGGGGGAATTGACACCAAATTTGGACACGATATCCCTAACAACCCAATGTATGTCCTTCGCTCAAAAAAACAACAAAAACAAAAAAGCAGAAAGGACTTCTAAACTGCATGTCCACAAAGAGACCCATGGCCACGCCCCCTCCTCCTCGCGAGGAAACAGTCGGCCGTTAAAGTATGAGGAGCCAGGCATGCGTTATATATATATACTAGCTGTCCCCTGCCACGCGTTGCTGTGGCCCTCAAGGGGGTTCTGTGTGGGAGGTTTGGCCCAATTCTAACGTTCGTGGGGTTCAGAGTGCTCTGTGATTGTAGGTGAACTATAAATCATAGCAAGTACAACTTGAAATGTCAAGATTCTATTTCCCCTAAACTCCACCAGTGTTTACATTGGGGCATATTGTGTATTCGTGTAGAGTTTGGTCCAGATCCATCATTGTTCGAGTCCACAGTGATCTCTGGATGTAGGTGGACTACAACTCCAAAACCAAAGGACACTCCCCACCAAACCCAGTATTTTCTGTTGGTCATGGGAGGCCTGTGTGCCAAGTTTGGTTCAATTCCATGGTTGGTGAGGTTCAGAATGCTTTTTGATTGTAGGTGAACTATAAATCCCAGCAACTATAACTCCCAAATGACAGAATCATATTTTTTTGAGTGACGGTCACTCCGTGTGTTGTGAGATGTTTTGTTGCCAAATTTGGTGTGATTTCGTTCATTGGTTCTTTTGTTTTTAAGGTACTCATTATGCACAGAGCATTTATATATATATAGATACTAGCTTTCCCTGCCACGCGTTGCTGTGGCCCACCTTACCTCCCTCTTTCTCTCCTTCTTTCCCTCATTCCCTTTTCTTCTTTCCTTCTCTCCTTCCTTCCTTCTCTTCCTCCCTTTTCCTTTTCCTTCCCTTTCTCTTTCTTCCTTCTCTGCCTCTTTCCTTCCTTCCTTCCTGTGGTTTTTGTTTCCATTCTTCCTTTTGTCTTTCCTTCCTTCCCCCCTCTTTCTCTTTCTTTCTCTTCTTCCTTTGCTCCTCTTTCCTTCCTTTTCTTTCCTTCTCTCCTTCCTTCCTTCTCTTCCTTTTGAATCGCTATCTGCATACCTTGTGGGTTGAGGTATGTCCATGCCAAGTTTGGTGTGTTTTGGGCCAGGGGTTTTCGCGTTTTGCTGTCCCGTTGAACGCCCTTAACAGATTTATATAGATAGATAGAGATATATAGATATATTACTGAAATTCATATTCTATCTATCTTCTACAACTTGCCAATATACACATGTTGACGAAACACTGTCTGTATTTCTCTTTCATGTTTGTCCAGGTGAAAGCAGATCCAGCAAGCTGGGGAAAAAAATAATCCACATGTATATAAATCCTTTAGGCTGCTCATTCCTGATTCCCAGTATCCATCCCATAATGACGACGTGAAAATTACTTTATTTACGTATTACCTTTGGTGACAGTGACATTGTAAGCAACAGAAAACAAGGAGGGTTGGTGGAGTCTAAAAATCTCGAAATTGCAGGAAACCATCACAAAAATATCAGGATGTGGGAAGAGATGTATGATCTGGAGACACAAAGAGGAAACCCAACATAATATACATATCTGGGTCGAATGACGAGCTCATCTACATGTTGAATTTAATGCAGTTTTGCTCTACTTCCAATGCCATGGAACTCCTGGGAGTTGTAGTTTTACACGGCCTTCAGCCTTCTCTACCTAAGCTACAAATCCCAGGATGACGTATCATTAAGCTGTGGCGGTAAAAGTGGCGTCAAACTGCGTTAATCCAACAGTGTGGATGTAACCCTGAGCTTTGAACTGCTTCCTGCCTCTCACCTTAACTGACCTCACAAGATTGTTGTAAAAATAAAATGGAAAGGAATTGATCTGTCTCCTGGAGTTCTTTTTTGGGGGTGCGGGGGGCGGGGAGGCTTATCCTACAACTCCCACAATCCCAAAGTATCAGGATAACCACACATTTAGAGACTGATCAATGTTATTGTTTTGGACTGCAATGCCCACAGTCCCCATAAAGTCTAACTATACATGGCATTGAACTAGTTTGCATCTTCTTTGTGGTTCTTTCTTTCTTTCCTCTATTTCCCTTATATACTTTTCTCCTTGTCTTTTCTTCCTTTCTTTCCTTCTTCACTTGCTTTCTCTCGTCGACCCCAGCTTTCTTTCTTTCCTCTTCCCTTCTTTATCTCTCTTCCCTCTCTTCCACCATCCTTTCTTCCCTTCTTTCCTTCCTTCATTTGATAGTTTCCCCATTCCCTTTCTTTCTTCCTTCCTTCCTTCCTTCCTTCCTTCCTTCCTTCCTTCCTTCCTTCCTTTCCCTTTTTTATCTCCTTTTCCTCCCTCCTACCCTTTTCTTTCCTTCCCCTCATACTTTCTCCCTTTCCTTTCCTTCCTCTTCCTCTATCTCATTCCCTTCCTTCATCCCTTCTTTCTTCCATTCTTCCTTCCTCTTGTACTTTCCCCCCTTTCCTTCCTCTTCCCTCCTTTTATCTCCTTTCCCTCTTAATTGCTCCCTTCTTTTTCCCCTTTCTCTTCCCCCCTTTTTCTCATTCCCTTTCCCTTCTTTATCTCCTTACCCTCCCTCCTTCCCTTTCCTTTCCCTCATACTTTCTCCCTTTCCTTTCCTTCCTCTTCCCTTATCTCATTCCCTTCCTTCATCCCTTCAGATTCCATCTGAACATGAGGAAGAACTTCCTGACTGTGAGAGCTGGTCAGCAGTGGAACTCTCTGCCCCGGAGTGTGGTGGAGGCTCCTTCTTTGGAAGCTTTTAAACAGAGGCTGGATGGCCATCTGTCAGGGGTGATTTGAATGCAATATTCCTGCTTCTTGGCAGAATGGGGTTGGACTGGATGGCCCATGAGGTCTCTTCCAACTCTTGGATTCTATGATTCTATATCAATATATTAAATAAACTGTTAAAAACATAACACAAAGACCTTTCTTTATCTCCTTTCCCTCCTTCCTTCATTCCTTCTTTTTCCCCTTTTCTTCCCCCCTTTTTCTCATACTTCCCCTTTCCTTTCTCTGCCTTCGTTTTCCCTTCTTTATCTCCTTACCCTCCCTCCTTCCCTTTTCTTTCCTTCCCCTCATACTTTCTCCCTTTCCTTTCCTTTCCTTCCTCTTCCCATATCTCCTTCCCTTCTTTCTTCCATTCTTCCTTCCCCTTGTACTTTCCCCCTTTCCTTTCTCTTCCTTCCTTCCTTGGTTCCTTCCTCTTCCCTTCTTTTATCTCCTTTCCCTCTTAATTGATCTATTCTTTCTTCCCTTTCTCTTCCTTTTCCTCATACTTTCCCCCTTTCTTTTCTCTTCCTTTTCCCTTCTTTATCTTTGCCCTCCTCCCCTTTTCTTTCCTTCCCCTCATACTTCCCTCTTTCCTTCCTCTTCCCTCACCTCCTTCCCTTCCTTTATCCCTTTCTTCCATTCTTCCCTTCCTTCCCCTCAAACTTTCCCCTTTCCTTTCTCTTCATTCTCCTTCTCTTTTTCTCTCTCATTTCCCTCTTAATTGACCCCTTCTTTCTTCCTTTCCTTATCCTCACACTTTGGTTTTTGGACCACAACTTCCAAAATTCCCAAATAACAACACAGCCACATTCAGGCAGTGATCAAAAGTTCCTTTTTTGGACAACAATTCCTATGGTCCCCAATTAACAGGTCAACCACGTTCAGAGCCTGATTTAAAAAAATTCCCTTTTGGACTCCAACTCCCAAAATCCCCAAGTAAGGCAGCCACATTCAGTCCCTGATCAAAAGTTCCTTTTTTGGACTGCAATGCCCATAGTTCCCAATTAGCAGAGCAATCATATTTAGACACTGATCAAAAAGTTCCTCTTTTGGACTACAACTCCCAAAATCCCCAACTGCAAAGACAGCCACATCCAGGCACTGATCAAAAGTTCCTTTTTTGGACTGTGCAATGTTCATTTAGCAGAGCAACCACATTCAGAGCTCGATCAAAAAGTTTCTTTTTTGGACTACAACTCCCAAAATCCCCAAGTAATAAGACACCAACATTCAGAGCCTGATCATAAAGTTCCTTTTTTGCACTACAACTCCCAAAATCCCCAAATAACAAGACACCCACATTTTGACACTGATAAAAAAGCTCCTCTTTTGAACTACAACTCCCAAAATCCCCAATTAACAAGACAGTCACATCCAGGCACTGATCAAAAGTTTCTCTTTGGATTGCAACGCCCATGGTCCCCAATTAGCAGAGCAACCACATTTAGACACTGATCAAAAACTTCCTTTTTTAAACTACATCTCCCAAAATCCCCACTCAGCACACCACTTCCACCTGTTGGGGATTCTGGGAGTTGTAGTCCTTGAAGAGTCAGAACTTGGGCCTTTCCTCATCCCAAACCGACCAATCCGAGCAGGGCTGACGCCTCGTCTGACGTCAGAGAGCCAAATCCCGCTTCCTTCTCGGCTTCCGTAGCGCCGCGTCACGCGACGAGGAGAGCTGTCCAATCCTAACCTCTTCCGGCTCGCACTTCTCGCGAGAACAGGCGGGATTGGACCCTTCCTGAGGCGAGGAAGGTGGGATTTGTGCCTGTGTGGTGTTTTCGCCGAGTTGAAAGGCCGGGACCAGGAACAGAGGCGCTGATTGCAGGCGGAAGGAGGAGGAGGAGGAGAAGGAGGTCGGTTGGTTTCCTCTTCAGGCCTTGTAGGCCTATCAAGCCTCGCTGGAACCCCGGGAAGGCTTTGGGGCCTAGCTGGGCTCCGTTGCGGCCTAGCCAGGCCTTCCCTATTTGGAGGCGATGGCGGGGCTGTGTGTTATCCGTTGATTTGGGGCCTTGGGTTCATTTGGAGGCGGGGGTGGAAGTCGTGAGGGTTTTCCTTGAGGCTGTGGGAGAAAGAACTCTTGTCTGTTGGAGCTTGGTGTGAATGTTTCAATATCCTCAGAGGTAGTGAGGTCTGTTGGAACTAGTAAAAAGGGGTTTATATATCTGGGGGAAGCCCAGGGTGGGACAAAGGACTCTTGTCTGTTGGAGCTAGGTGTGAATGTTTCAACATCCTCAGAGGTAGTGAGGTCTGTTGGAACTAGTAAAAAGGGGTTTATATATCTGGGGGATGACCAGGGTGGGACAAAGGACTCTTGTCTGTTGGAGCTAGGTGTGAATGTTTCAACTGACTACCTTGATTAGCATTTGATGGCCTGGCAGTGCCTGGGGCAATCTTTGGTTGAGAGGTGATTTGATGTCCTTGATGGTTGGGTTGTTGTAGGTTTTTTCGGGCTGTATGGCCATGTTCTAGAGGCCATCTCTCCTGACGTTTCGCCTGCATCTATGGCAAGCATCCTCCGAGGTAGCGAAGTCTGTTGGAACTAGGAAAAAAGGGTTTATATATCTGTGGAATGACCTGGGTGGGGCAAAGAACTCTTGTCTGTTGGAGCTAGGTGTGAATGTTTCAACTATTTTATTTATTTATGTGTCGTCAGCAACCATACTATTGCATTACATTTCTAACAGTCAAAACAAACACACAGATTTTAAAAAAAACACAGATTTTGCAAACTTGGTAGTTGATTAAATGTCCTTTGACCAGTATCTGGCCACTTGGAGTGCCTCTGGTGTTGCTGAAAGAAGGTCCTCCGTGGTGCATGTGGCAGTTCTCAGGGTGCATTGCAGCAGGTGGTCAGTGGTTTGTTCTTCTCCACATTCGTATGTCGTGGATTCCACGACATGTCTGTGTTTTAGATGGATTAGGGATCAGCTGGTTTTCCCTGTAATAGGCAGTAAGAGCACCTAGAGCAGTGGTTCTCAACCTGGGCTCCCCAGATGTTTTTGGCCTTCAACTCCCAGAAATCCTAACAGCTGGTAAACTGGCTGGGATTTCTGGGAGTTGTAGGCCAAAACACCTGGGGACCCACAGATTGAGAACCACTGACCTAGAGCTTCGGAGAGCTTCTTTTCAACCATCTCAAAGCTCCCTGCTTGTGTGGTAATGGCACGATCATCAGCATAGATTAAACTCTGTGTCCCTTCTGGCAGTGGCTGGTTATTTGTGTAGATGTTGAACATGGTTGGAGCAAGCACGCTCCCCCGAGGCAGGATGTTCTTCTGTTTACAACATCTGCTTCTCTGACACTCGAACTCAACAAAAAAAGCTCCTGTTTTGTAGCAGGTTTCGTATGAGGCGGGTGAGGTGGTAATGCTTTCTGATATTATACGTTTTTCTCAGGAAGAGGCGGTGGTTCACAGTATCATAAGCCGCTGACAGGTCTATGAAGACAGCTCCTGTGATCTGCTGCCTTTCAAAGCCATCTTCTATGTGCTGAGTCAGGTTCACCACTTGTGATGTGCAGCTTTTGCCTTTCCTGAAGCCAGCTTGCTGTGGAATCAGATGTGGGTCTATTTTTTCTCTGATGCTTAATAATTATTCAATAATTTTTGTGCCCCGATGCTCAATAATTATTAAAGTCTAAGAAGTAACATGATAGCACATTTAATGTGTGTGGGCATGCTTTCAAGTTGTCCTATCAGTTTCTAGCCGTCCTGTAAATTTAATATGATTTTCTTAGACTCAGAGGTGGTTGTGCCAGTTCCTTCCTCTGAAATAGAACCAACAGCACCGGGTATCTGTTAATGCTTTCCCATCCAAGTACTAACCAAGGCTGATGCTGCTTAGTTTGCAAGTTCACATGACACCTAGTGCGTTTAGGTTGATATAAGTATGGAGAGGGTGAAGTACTGTACCATTACTCCAAATTTATACTGAGCTGTTTAAATAATATTTGTCTTTTTTATTTTAAAAATACTTTATTTCCTTCTCAAACAGATAGAGGTATATTGCAAAAATGTCTGACAGTGAGGACAGCAACTTCTCTGAAGATGAGAGCGAACATAGCAGTGAACCCGAAGAGGTAGAGGAGAATGAGGTGAGGCTTATTGTTATTATTATTTTTATTATTATTTGTATGCTCTTTTTTCTCTTAACAGAGACTCAAAGTGGTGAACAGTGCTAAAAGCAATTACCGTATATACTCGAATATAAGCCGATCCGAATATAAGCTGAGACACCTAATTTTGCCATGGAAATACTGGGAAAACGTATTGACTCGAGTATAAGCCGAGGGTGGGAAATGCAGCAGCTACTGGTCACTTTCAAAATAAACATAGATACCAATACAATTACATTAATTGAGGCATCAAGAGATTAAATGTTTTTGAATATTTACATAGAATTATAATATAAGACTGTCCAACTCTGATTAAACCATTATTCTCACCTTCTTCAATGTAAATGTGCTTCCAATAATAGAGTAAAATAATAAATGCAATAATAACAATAATTGAGTAAAACAAATGTAATAATAACTAAAATAAAATAAATAATAATAATAATAAAGTAAAATGATAAATATAGTAATAATGAATAGAGTAAAATAATAAATATAGTAATAGTACTACTACTACTACTAATAATAATAATAACAACAACAGAATAAAATAATAAATAACCTTGACTCAAGTATAAGCCGAGGGGGACTTTTTCAGCCTAAAAAAGGGCTGAAAAACTAGGCTTATACTTGAGTATATACAGTAAGTATAAAACCTAAACATAAAGTGTGGATGTATAGAAAGCAAAAGAACTTGCAATCTACAACTCCCAAAATGCCATATCATTGAGCCCAAGCAGTTACAGTGGTGTCAAATTACATTAATGTTGTATTGTAGATGCAGCCAAAGGCTCACAACAATGGTGATTTTAAACCAAACACTATCTAACAATTAATTGATAAAATCATTAAAAACAGTGAATTATTTGTAAGTTATTCATAAACATTCTCCTTTTTTTAAAACAAAAAAGACTATCTAATAAAGCAAATTAGATTACCATATATACTAGAATATAAGCCAAGCCGAATATAAGCTGAGGCGCCTAATTTTACCACAAAAAGCTGTGAAAACGTATTGATTCGAGTATAAGCCGAGGGTGGGAAATTCGGCAGCTACTGGGAAATTTCAAAATAAAAATGGATAGCAATAAAAGTAGATTAATTGAGGCATCAGTAGGTTCAGTGTTTTTGAAAATTTACATGAAACTGTAATTTAAGATGAGACTGTCCAGCTCTGATTAAACCATTATTCTAACCTTCTTCAATGTAAATGTGTTTACGTATTTTTCAAAGAGAGTAAAATAATAAATATAATAATAGAGTAAAATAATGGAAATGTAATTATAACAGTAATAATAGAGTAAAATAATAAATGCAATATTTATTTATTTATTTGCCATATTTTTCCCCCGCCTTTCTCTATCCCAACAGAGGGACTCAAGGCAGCTTACAATGGCACATACACAGTGCCTCAAAACAACACATTCACCTAAAAATAGTTTAAAATTTCAACGTATTAGACATTATTAAAATGCATTAGAAGTTAAAAATATGTCATCCAGAGTTCAAGGTCTAAAGCCATTCCAAGGTCAGATTACACATAATTCTAGATTTGGAATACTGCATTGCCCTTATTTTCGAAAGCCTGCTCCCAGAGCCAGGTTTTGACTCTCTTCCTGAAGGCTAGTAGGGATGGGGCTGATCTAATGTCTCTAGGGAGGGAGTTCCATGACCGAGGGGTCACCACTGAGAAGGCCCTGTCTCGTCCCCGCCATTCATTATTATGACAATAATAATAAACTAAATTAATACATGCATAATAATAGTTATGGTAATAATAATAGAGTAAAATGTAAATATTTATTTATTTATCGTGTCATCAGCAAGCAGACATTTGTATTACATTTTTAACAAAACAAACAAACAGACAAAACACAGAATTTGCAAGCTTGGTATATGCCGCCCTTCTCACCCTGAAGGGAACTCAGAGAAGCTTGCAAGATATATATACATATAATATATTATCAGCATAGTACAATTTCAGTATTATGTATTACTATGTTGTACTATATCCTTATATTGTATTTATCGTGTCAGGAGCAAGCCAAACAGTTGTATTGCATTTTTTAACAAACAAACAAACAAAACACAAAATTTGCAAGCTTGGTAGTCGATTAAATGTCCTTTGACTAGTAGCTGGCCACTTGGAGAGCCTCTGGTGTTACTATAAGAAGGTCCTCCCTTGTGCATGTGGCAGGGCTCAGGTTGCATTGCAGCAGGTGGTCAGTGGTTTGCTCTTCTCCACACTTGCATGTCGTGGATTCCACTTTGTAGCCCCATTTCTTGAAGGTTGGCTCTGCATCTCGTGGTGCCAGAGCGCAGTCTGTTCAGCGCCTTCCAAGTCGCCCAGTTTTCTGTGCCCTGTTTTCTGTGCCCAGGGGGGAGTCTCTCATTTGGTATCAGCCATGGGTTGAGGTTCTCGGTTTGAGCCTGCCACTTTTGGACTCATGCTTGCTGGGGTATTCCAGCAAGTGTCTCTGTAGATCTTAGAAAACTATTTCTTGATTTAAGTCGTTGTAAATGTAATAACAATAATAATAGAGTAAAATAATAAATTTATTTATTCTATTTGTAACCTGCCTTTCTCTACCCTGAAGGGGACTCAAGGCAGCTTTACATATAGCAAGTATTCTATGCCTTTGAACAACAAACAGTTAAAATATACTTAAGTTAAAAAATTAAAATTAAATGCACATTAAAACATAGAGAACATTGCATTCACTATTAAAATTAATGTAAACATAATAGTAGAGTAAAATAATAAATGTAAGAAAAGCAGTAATAACAACAACAGAAAAATAATAAATAACTTTGACTCAAGTATAAGCCAAAGGGGGCATTTTCAGCTTAAAAAAGAGCTAAAAACTTGGCTTATGCTTGAGTATATATGGCAATCATCTGAAAATGAAAATTGACTGAACTGTATGACAATGAAGCCCACCTCCCCAAATAATTTTTTTAATTCCATGTTCATTTTGTGAAAACAAACTAGAGATACAGAGAGTGAGGTTTTTCGAAAGGCAGACAGTGTCTTTTAATAAACATGCAGGCAGAAGAAGAGCGCGCCAGTACCGTCGGCAGCGAAAAGGAAGAAGTAGAGGAAGAGGAGGAGGAGGAGGAAGAAGAAGAATATGATGAAGAGGAGGAGGAAGATGATGACCGGCCTGCAAAGAAGCCGAGACATGGAGGCTTTATTTTGGATGAAGCTGGTAAAAAGCCCCACTTTCACCCAGCCATCCATTTTTCTCTGTCTCGTTGGGACTGGACGTTGCTTACCATGTAGGGGATTCCCTTTCTCTTTTCTCCAGATGTGGATGATGAGTATGAAGATGAAGATCAGTGGGAAGACGGCGCTGAGGACATTCTGGAGAAAGGTAAGGCAAGCTCTTCTTGTCCAACACTCTGGATGTAACGGGACGCAGGACCAGGCAAGCATTAAAGTCCCACAGAATGCTTCAGCAAAGATCCTCCTATTGATGAGGTAGACATTTTCTGGTTGGTTTTGAGTCCTCAAGCATTTGTTTTCTCCGTCAAAGTTAGAGATAGCATCTCCGTTGAAGTTCTATATTCAGGATAGTTCTCTCATTCCAGGTTGAAAATCAGGAAGTCAGTTGTCTCTTGAAGTCTATAAACTTAGGGTTGCTCTGAGTTTTCTGGCCTGTATGGCCATGTTCAAGAAGCATTCTTTCCTGACTTCTTGCCCACATCTATGGCAGGCATACTTAGAAGTCGAGGGGTCTGTTGGAAAATAGGCAAGTGAGGTTTATATACCTTTGGAATAATGTCCAGGGTGGGACAAAGAACTCTTGTCTGATTGTGGCAAGTGTGAATGTTACCATTGGCACCTTCGATTAGCATTTAATGGGCCTGCAACTTCAAGTCTGACTTGGCCACGGTGGTACACGCTCTGGTCACATCCCGCCTTGACTACTGCAACGCTCTCTACGTGGGGCTGCCCTTGAAGACGGCCCGGAAGCTCCAGCTAGTCCAGCGCGCGGCAGCCATGTTACTAACAGGAGCGGGACGCAGGGAGCACACAACCCCCTTGTTGTTCCAGCTCCATTGGCTGCCGATCTGCTACCGGGCCCAATTCAAGGTGCTGGTGCTGGCCTACAAAGCCCTAAACGGTTCCGGCCCAAAATACCTTTCGGACCGCATCTCGGCCTATGAGCCCACGAGGGCCTTGAGATCGTCTGGGGAGGCCCTTCTCTCGATCCCGCCTGCCTCACAGGCACGTCTGGCGGGGACGAGAGAGGGCCTTCTCAGTGGTGGCCCCCCGGCTGTGGAACACCCTCCCTGTCGACATCAGACAGGCGCCCTCCCTCATGACATTCCGCAAGAGACTAAAAACGTGGTTGTTTGAGAAGGCGTTTGATTAAGTGCTACGACAATTGGCAATGATGATTGGAATGGAGTATGGAAAACGAGACTGGATTGTGATTCTATGATGAGACGTCGCGAATGATTTAGTGTAATTGTAGTATTAATAGTGATATTGTTGTTGTTGTTTGTGTAATTGCTTTATAGTAAATTGCTTTTTTATATGTTGTACACCTCCGTGAGTCGCCCTAGGGCTGAGAACGGCGGTGTACAAGTGCAGTAATAAATAAATAAATAAATAAATAAATAAATAAAGCCTGGCTGGTGGCTGCCTGGGGGAATCCTTTGTTGGGAGGTGTCAGCTGGTTCTGTTTTTTCATGTCTGGATCCCCTGTTTTTTGAGTGTTGTTCTTAATTTACTTTCCTGATTTTAGAATTTTTTAAAATATTGGGAGCCAGATTTTGTTCATTTTTTTGTGAAATTGTCCATGTTCTTCTTGTGGATTTCAGTGTCTTTTCTGTGTCGCCTGACTTGGCAGTTGTTAGAGTGGTCCAGCATTTCTGTGTTCTCAAATAATATGTTGTGCCCAGGTTGGTTCATGGGATTTTAATGTTTATACTAGGATGATTTTATGCTTTGTCTGAATGTTTAAATTTTATGTATGTCTTATATTTAATGGGTTTTAATTGATTTTAAGTTAGTTATATGTAGTAATTAGTTGTTATGATATCCTTGTGTACACTATGTTGGCATTGAATTTTTGCCATTAGTATGTTGTAAAGTGCCTTGATTCCCCCTAGGGGTGAGGAAGGCAGTATATAAATACAGTAAATAAATCTGTATAAATAAAAATGAAATGTTTGTTAGTGGGATTAACATAACTCAAAAACCACTGGGCAAATTGACACCAAATTTGGACACAAGACACCTGTCAGGCCAATGAATGACTACTACTCATAAAAACACTGAAAAACACAGCAGAAGAGACTTAAAAAGCAAAAAAAAAAACATTACAATGCATGCACAAAACCATATATACACAAATATATATACACACACACACACACACACACACACACACACACACAAAACACATATACACAGACTGGGCCACAGCAACACGTGGCAGGGAATGGCTAGTAATAAATTGGTTCATCGGGTGCTTGGCTGTGGCTGACTTCTCTGGTTGAATGAGTCTGCAGTGCCTTCATGTTCCTTAATTCGTGTTTGAGCAATGCTGTGTTTGCCAGCTAACACCTCCAAACAAAGGATCCCCCCAGGCAGCAATCAGCCAGGCTTTGAAGCTGCAAGGCCATTAAATGCTAATCAAGGTAACTAATTGCAACATTCACACCTGCCATAAGCAGACAAGAATTCTTTCTCCCACCCTGGACATTATTCCACAGATATATAAACCTCACTTGCCCAGTTTCCAACAGACCTCACAACCTCTGAGGATGCCTGCCATAGATGTGGGCAAAACATCAGGAGAGAATGCTTCTGGAACATGGCCAGGCAGCCTGGAAAATTCACAGCAAGCCATGAAAACCTTCAACAACTGTATAAATGTAGTTTTTTTTAATGAAAGAAATTAGAGAAATTTCAGGTTAAACTTTTGAATCACAATCTTTTCAAATAAGAAATGTGGATTAGGACAATTTTCTGAAATCACAGAAAAGTCATTGTCCAAATGGATAAGGGCGCTATTGGAGCAGTGAGAGAGGAAAAGAAAGGGAGGGAACAGCTTGTGACCAGCTGGCCCACCTGTTGCTAGGACAGTCCTCCCTCCCTCCTGGCCTGGTGGCTTCTCCTTTTTGAGTTTTTGTGCATTTCATTCGCTTTTGCTTGGTTTGTACCACATCTTAATTTTGTTCCTTCCGCTTTTCTGTTCCCCATTCACCCCCACCCTGTGGTTGGTTTTGATGGTATTATTTGGCTCATACTGTCCGCCCTCCCACCACCACTTCTTCATGAGCAGAAGAGATCGAAGGTAAGACAGGTTTTGGTTTTTCTCCTCTCCATTCCAGCTCCTTTCCTCTTCACCGGCTTCACTTTTTCTCTGCTTCCTTTCACCTGAGGGGGTGGGTTGTCTCTTTGGATAGGGGTCTGGCAGGGAATGAAAGGCGGTGCAGTACTCTACAACTCTGCTTGGTTGCTTCAGGTATTTGGAAAATGATCTGTGAAGATTGTTGCTTTTAGCAGCACTCTTAGATTTCCTTGAGTTAGTGATCTGTCGGGCCAGTGCCCTTCTGATGAGTCGGGGGTGTCAGACTTATTTCTATCAAGCACCACATCCACATTATGGTTGCCTTCAAAGGAGGATTGAATCCATGGATGGAGAATCCTTGAACACAACGCCAACTATAATTTTCTTACATCATGGTTGGTTTTCTTTGGTTTTTACCAAGTTTCTTGAAAAATGGCACTCATAACCTTTTTGAAAAGGAGGGGAAAAACTACCGTATATACTCGAGTATAAGCCGATCCAAATATAAGCCGAGGGTGAGAAATGAAGCCACTACTGGTAAATTTCAAAATAAAAATAGATACCAATAAAATTACATTAATTGAGGCATCAGGAGGTGAAATGTTTTTGAATATTTACATAAAATTGTAATTTGAGATAAGACTGCCCAACTCTGATTAAATCATTATTCTAAACTTATTCTAAATGTAAATGTATTTATGTATCCTTCGAACAATAATAGAGTAAAATAATAAATATAATGATGATAATAATAATAATAATAAAGTAGAACAATGGAAATGCAATGATAACAGTAATAATAGAGTAAAATAATAAATTTAATAAGAGTAAAATAATAAATGTAGTAATAAGGTAAATACAGTAAATGTAAAAATAATAATAATAAAGTAAAATAATACATAAATAAATTTATTATTTATTCTATTCTAATAGCATAATAAATAAACTTGACTCGAGTATAAGCCGAGGGGAGCTTTTTCAGCCTAAAAAAGGGGCTGAAAAACTAGACTTATACTCGAGTATATACAGTATGTCATATCTTTTTGGCAAATGTGAATCTCCATGAACTTCTGGAGGCCACCTTTTGAAAACCACTAATCAAAGAAAGGCATGCCCTTGTTGGAAGTCAACCCTTTGAAAAAGTGATTTTCACAAACATTCATGTAATGGCACACAGGTAACTTGGCTGTTAAACTGATAAACCATGTCTTTGAACTGCCAGGAACAAAGACATGCCACTGCACCAAAAAAAAACAAACATATACTGTATATACTCAAGTATAAGCATCGTTTTTCACCTCTTTTTTTAGGCTGAAAAAGTCCCCCTCGGCTCATACTCGAGTCAAGGTTATTTATTATTGTACTCTATTATTATGGTGATCCCTCGATGTCTAAGTAGGATGGTCCTCCAGGGTCAGTGTGCAGTGTGCGTTGGGTCCGTAGGCGACTGTGGAGCCCTATTCTTGATCTGCATCTTCTCCTGCAGTGAGGGCATTGGATTCTAGGTGGAAGGCGGCCTCGGCCGGGGTTGGCTCGACGCGCCTTCCTCTTGGCACGTTTCTCTCTTTCAGCCTCCATTCGTGCCTCTTCAAATTCTGCAGCACTGCTGGTCACAGCTGACCTCCAACTGGAGCGCTCAATGGCCAGGGCTTCCCAGTTCTCAGTGTCTATGCCAGAGTTTTTAAGGTTGGCTTTGAGCCCATCTTTAAATCTCTTTTCCTGTCCACCAACATTCCATTTTCCATTCTTGAGTTTGAAGAAGAGTTTGGGAGATGGTGGTCGGGCATCCGGACAACGTGGCTGTTCCAGCGGAGTTGATGGCGGAAGGACCATTGCTTCAATGCTGGGGTCTTTGCTTCTTCCAGCACGCTGACGTTTGTCCGCTTGTCTTCCCAAGAGATTTGCAGGATTTTCTGGAGGCAGCGCTGATGTAATCGTTCCAGGAGTTGCATGTGACGTCTGTAGACAGTCCACGTTTCGCAGGCATATAGCAGGGTTGGGAGGACAATAGCTCTATAAACAAGCACCTTGATATCCTATGGATGTCCCGGTCCTCAAACACTCTCTGCTTCATTCGGGAAAATGCTGCACTTGCAGAGCTCAGGCGGTGTTCGAGCACTTGCTCAAGCACAGCAAGGGAAACAAGTCTCTCTCTTTTCCTCCTCTCTCTCTCGTTTCCTTCTTTTCTCTGGTCTTTACTGCCAAATGAAATAGAATCAATCAGAGAGCGAGTGGGTGTCCCAGGTTGCAAACGCTTTAGGTCCAGAAGCTGTTTGCAGTTCTGAACCTTCTTGCTCCGCTCATTGACCCACCTTACCGGCCAGCTCTGCCCCTGTCTCCCCCGTGTTGCCAACCTTTGTCTCTTTTCCTAGCCTCCAATATTGACAATGTGGTTCTGGACGAGGATCGCTCCGGAGCACGGAGACTACAGAACTTGTGGAGGTAAGGAGTTAAAACTATTCAACATTGCGTTCTGGTAGCGCAATTTCACTGAATCCAAGCTTTTTTTTTTTTTTTTGGGAGTCAGAATTATTTTCATTGGGAATGTCAAATAAACAAACTAATTAAATGACAAAGTATTGCATTACATCATAATATTGTATATGGAGCCCCTGGTGGCGCAGTGGGTTAAACCTCTGTGCCGGCAGGAGTGAAGACCGACAGGTCGCAGGTTCGAATCGGGGAGAGCACGGACGAGCTCCCTCTATCAGCTCCAGCTCCTCATGCGGGGACATGAGAGAAGCCTCCCACAAGGATGGCAAAACGTCAAAACATCTGGGCGTCCCCTGGATAACGTCCTTGCAGACGGCCAATTCTCTCACACCAGAAGCAACTTGCAGTTTCTCAAGTCGCTCCTGACACAACAAAAAATAATAATTGTATGCACAATTTTTTGAAGGTGGACCTCCCAACAATAGATAAATGGATGGTTAAAGTCTTTAAAATTGCAGAAATGGACAAAGAAAAAGGAAAAAAAACCAAAAAAAAAAAAAAACCAAACTTGTATCAAGGACTAAGAGCTATTTCTAAACTTTGTAAAAAAAGAAGAGAAAAGTAAAAGTTTTTTTATCGAAGGCTGCATAATTTAACTAGTTGAAATCTGTGTAGGAAATTTATCAGGCCAGAAGGAAGAATAGAAAAACAATGTAATAGGAAGGAAGAATGGAATATATATTAATGTTTCCAACCCAAGGGATGGAAAGTCACTAAATTGGGATGGGTGGAAGGAGGGAAGGGTATAACCAAATATGAATATTGTATATACGTTAGGAAATATTGTATTAGTTCATTAGAGCCTATTTTTTGTGTGAGTGACATTTTTTGCAATGAAAATTAAAGATGGGTCAGTTTGCAGGTTCTTGGATGCTGGGGAGTGGTGTGAGCTTCTGCTGTCAGCCCCAGCTTCTGCCATCCTAGTGTTCTCCCAAAAGACCATACTAGGGAACCAAGTTTCCTAAGCCATTTTGTAGCTCTGCGTGATGCTTGCAATTAATATTTACACAGCATATCAAATATTGAAAACTCTTCAATTCTTAGAATGCTGCGGGAGAATGACCAATATTATATCTAAATATTCTGACCTAGCAAATCCCGTTTACGATCTTACTGCTGCTGTTTCCTTCATCTCGTCACCTTCCAATTTCCACAGGGACCAGCGTGAAGAGGAACTGGGCGAGTATTACATGAAGAAGTACGCCAAATCCTCAGTGGGCGAAACGTGAGTTTGCAGAGTCTTTTTTGTGATTTATTTCTTAAATGTCCTGACAGCCAGCTTTCCAGCCTTGTTCCCCATCGCAGACCGCTCAGACCATTTCTTTCTTTGTGTCTCTGCAGTGTTTACGGTGGCTCCGACGAACTCTCTGATGACATCACACAACAGCAGTTGCTGCCTGGAGTGAAGTAAGAGCTTTGTATTTTCAGGGGTTTGTTTTTGCCAGAAAATAAATGTTTGGGGAGCTATATTTTCAAGTTTCAAAGGTGTGGCTGAGGCATGTCAGAGGACAGCCCAAATGGTGTGGCCAGGCAACAAGAGGCGGGAGTTATGAATGAGGATGAACACAAAGAAAAGTACCCTTTTAAGCAGGGATACCCTGGGAGTGATGTACTGAATTTAGTATCCTCACTCTCACTAAGTTAACTGAATGCAGGCTACATCTACTGTATATACTCGAGTATAAGCCGACCCAAATATTAGCCAAGGCACCCAATTTTACCACAAAATACTGGGAAACCGTATTGACTCGAGTATAAGCCGAGGGTGGGAAATGCAGCAGCTATGGGTAAATTTCAAAATAGAAATAGATACCAAAACATTACATTAATTGAGACATCCGCAGGTTAAATGTTTTTGAATATTTACATAAAACTGTAATTTACAATAAGACTGTCCAACTCTGATTAAATCATTATTCTCTCCAATAATAATAAAAAGAGCAAAATAATAAATGTAACACAAATAATAATAATAATAGAGTAAAATAATGGAAATGTAATAATAACAGTAATAATAGAGAAAAATAATAAATGTGGTAGTAATAATAATAAATAGAGTAACATAATAAATTAATAATAATAATAATAAATAGAGAAAAATAAATATAATAAAATAATAATAGAGTGAAATGTACAAAAGTAAAATAATAAATGTAATAAAAATAATAATAACTGAGTAAAATAATAAATAACCTTGACTCAAGTATTTCTTTTTATTTAAAACATTTATATCCCATCCTTCTCCACCTCCGCAGAGGGACTCAGAATGGCTTCCAAACATTGATGCCAAACATAAAATAAAACACATAGTAAATACATCCACATAATTGAAGTAATTCTAAATATACATTAAGAATCTGCTCGCCAGATTAAAATCACCAGAATTAAAATCGTCATCCAAAGCAATCCAAGTCTGGCCCAATAAATCTTGTCTTTCCCAGTAAACTAAGTATTCTGTGAACACCTGATCCCATAACCAGGATTTACGCTTCTTCCGGAAGGTCAGGAGGGAGGGGACAGATCTAACCTCATTGGGGAGGAAGTTCCACAGCCGAGGGGCCACCATGGAGACCCTGTCTCTTACCCTGTGACTGCAATGGCGGTGGGACTGGAAGCAGGACCTCCCTGGGTGATCTTAGCTGAGAACGAAAGGAAAATGAGTGGAACAGTCAACACCTGTTTGGACATTGCACACTATTCCTATAACGTCTCATCTTTCTCCACACAGGGATCCCAATCTGTGGACTGTGAAATGTAAGGTAAGGCCCACCTTAACTCCACAGAGCCTGAATTTCTGTTAGGCATTACATTTACAAGACTGCTTCAGCCTAATAGTTTTCTGTTGTGTGTCACCTTTCATTCCAATGTTGCTTTTGTGTGTTTTCTCCTCTCCCTGCCTCCAGATTGGAGAAGAGCGGGCCACAGCCATTGCCCTGATGAGGAAGTTCATCGCCTACCAGTTCACCGACACAGTAAGTGTGGGAGAAGAAGGATCAAGTCCTCGGTGTATCTGTGAGGTTGAGGTTGGGTGAGATGCAAGAGTCCCAGATTGTTGTGTTGTATCTATAGCCTCCTAGGTTCTACAAGTCCTTGTTTGGCTTACTGGCCCCAAACCATTCCCATTCTGTGAATTCTTTTGCACACACAACTGTCTTAGAAGAGAAACCAAGGATTGGCCCCAGTTTGCTATTTGCCTTCAAGTTAACTCTAAGTTGTGGTGACCCTGTCCTTGGGTATTATTGGCCAAGATATCATCAGAAGAGGCATAATCTATATAAATAAAAATGTAATGTTCGTTTGTGGGATTAAGAGAACTCAAAAACCACTGGGGGAATTGGCACCAAATTTGGACACAGGGACACCTAACAACCCAATGTCTGTCCTTCACTCAAAAAAATTGATTTTGTCATTTGGGAGTTGTAGTTGCTGGGATTTATAGTTCAAACATTACATTTTTATTTATATAGATTGTTTATGTGATTTTTATTAATTGTATTGATTGTTTTTGTTATTGCTTTTGTTTATTGATGTGTTGTGGGCTTGGCCTCATGTAAGCCACACCGACTCCCTTGGGGAGATGGTAGCGAGGTATAAATAAAGTATTATTATTATTATTATTATTATTATTTCATGTTCATATGTTTTGACTCTGTTATACTTCGCCTCGAATTGTTAGGAGATGGGTAACAATTATTATTTGTATTCTTTTTCAATTGTTGTTTTATTGTTTTTTCCCACTCCCACCCTCCCCTCCCTGTACATGCAATTTATACAGCAAACTACAAAAGTTACATTTGAAATATCAATCTCAGTATTAATTTTTCTACTCCACATCTTAGCACGTTCTCTAAAGAATTCCTAACTGGTTCCCACATTTTTATTCTTATTATTTACATCACACGTACTCGTATCCTTGCACAGCCCTGGAAATGGCTCCTCCACAGATACAGAGAGCCAAATGTATAAATTATATTTTGGCATTTCTGAGTTTCGTAGTGCCTTACTTTGGGAGTAATGAGTATGCTATTAATAGTGACCAGCCAATCTATTTAATAAGCAACTCTCCTTGCCTGCAGCCTTTGCAGATCAAGTCGGTGGTGGCTCCAGAACATGTGAAGGGCTACATCTACGTGGAGGCCTACAAGCAGACGCACGTCAAGCAGGCTATCGAAGGAGTGGGCAACCTTCGGATGGGCTATTGGAACCAGCAGATGGTGCCGATCAAGGAGATGACGGATGTCCTGAAGGTGGTGAAGGAGGTGACCAACCTGAAGCCCAAATCCTGGGTCCGGCTCAAGAGGGGCATCTACAAGGATGACATCGCTCAGGTGCGTTGAAGCATTAGCTTTCACGATTGCGGAGCACCCAAACCTTGCTATGGAATTTAGGAAGTGGTTAGAACTGCTGTGTTACCAAGGAAGCTTTCTAATCATCAACAGAATTGGAAGGCTATGCTGAATTGGATAGAGGTAGAAATATGTGAACCTTCTCCGTTGTCTGACTGCAAGGGGTGGATTTTGGCATTTGCAGTCCATAAAATAAGTTTTCCAAACTTCGAAACTGATTGAGGTACATCTTGCTGTAATCCTGACACTCCCCTGATACTCTTTGCTTACCTCTCCTTTCCCTTAGGTGGATTATGTGGAGCCAAGTCAGAACCAGATCTCGCTGAAGATGATTCCACGCATCGATTTTGACCGCATCAAAGCCCGCATGAGCCTGGTTAGTGGGCAAGCTTGACTTAAAGACAGTGTTTCTTTTGTATTGGTTTTGTTTGCGCCTTTATTTTACCTCTATAGCTTTTCGGGTTTGTTGCCTCAAACTGGACAGTTTCAGAAAGGAAAAACCACTTTAACTGACTCTTCGGTTTGTTTAGGTTTTATGGCAGCTGTTTGCACAGTGGAGGGTTCAGCTGACTCTACTTTGTAGTATTTTAGAGACACATGCATTCCCTAAATCCTCTCTTAAATAATCTGTCCCTGGCAAGGTGCGATATTTCTGGAAGCCATAGAATCAAAATGAAGTTCAACAGTGACAAATGCAAGATACTCCACTTTGGCAGAAAAACAAAATGCAAAGATACAGAATGGGGGACGATACCTGGCTCGATAGCAGGACGTGTGAAAAAAATCTTGGAGTCCTCGTGGACAACAACTTAAACATGAGCCAGGAATGTGATGTGGCGGCAAAAAAATCCAATGGGATTTTTGCCTGCATCAAGAGGAGCATAGGTCTAGGGAAGTCATGCTCCCCACGCTCTATTCTGCTTTGGTTAGACCACACCTGGAATATTGTGTCCACTTCTGGGCACCACAATTCAAGAGAGATATTGACAAGCTGGAATGTGTCCAGAGGAGGGCGACTAAAATGATCAAGGGTCTGGAGAACAAGCCCTATGAGGAGCGGCTTAAAGAGCTGGGCATGTTTAGCCTGAAGAAGAGAAGGCTGAGAGGAGATATGATAGCCATGTATAAATATGTGAGAGGAAGCCACAGAGAGGAGGGAGCAAGCTTGTTTTCTGCTTCCTTGGAGACTAGGACGCAATGGAACAATGGCTTCAAACTACAAGAGAGGAGATTCCATCTGAACATGAGGAAGAACTTCCTGACTGTGAGAGCCGTTCAGCAGTGGAACTCTCTGCCCCGGAGTGTGGTGGAGGCTCCCTCTTTGGAAGCTTTTAAACAGAGGCTGGATGGCCATCTGTCAGGGGTGACTTGAATGCAATATTTTTGCAATATTTTGTTAGTTTTGGCCCATCTCTCTAATCTGTCAAGATCGTTTTGAATCCTGCTCCTGTCCTCTGGAGTATTAGCTATCCCTCCCAATTTGGTGTCATCTGCAAACTTGATGATCCTGCCTTCTAAATAAATAAATACTCTCTATGCTGACTAGGTGGTAAACACTAAGCTATAGTATGTACTGCTATAAAAATCTATAAGGTATGTACAAGGCTATGAGGTGTGTACGGGCTTTAGGATGCCTGTTTTAGATTGCCAAACCAAACCCCAGACTATTTCTGGCCCTTTCTCTCAAAGCTCTGCCCCAGAAAGAGTGGAGGGGAAACCTTTCCAACAAGCTCTTGAGGCAGCAGGGCTAAACCATGAGAGCCAGGCCTCTGGGGGGATTTTAAACTCCCCCTCCTACAACTCGGCACAAATGGAATAGCCCCCAGCCAAAGAGAGGCCAAAATAAGGAAATGAACAGAGGAGGGACAAGATCTTAGGCCTAGACATCACATCTCGAAATAAAGATCCTCCACTATGGCGAAGATGCAGCAGGGCTCCTGGCTCTTTTGCCCACTTCGCCTCATCTCCCCTTTTTCATTGCAGAAAGACTGGTTCGCCAAACGGAAGAAGTTCAAACGTCCCCCTCAGAGGCTCTTCGATGCTGAAAAGATCCGGTGAGAGTCCAAGAGTGAGATTGAAATGATAGATTTTGTTTTGCTATATTACAAGGATTTTCATTCCTTATTTATACGTTTATATTGGGAGACATTCTGGGCAAATCTGCAAACTTTTTTATACCACCCTTCTTATTCAGATTTTTCTCCATGTTGAAAGCTGCAGTTTTATATGTTGCACTGGGAGCAAGTTGTCCAGATACCATTACAGTTTGGCTTGATCTTAGTAAAAAATATTATTTGCTCTTGAATTAGAAGCTGAACAGCCACTTTATGTGTATGTCCCTGGCATTCTTGTACCTTGGAGCTAATTTTTGTTTTGCTGTGATTTTCTATTGCTTTTGTCTTTTTTATGATCATGCTTTGATCATAATAAAGTGGATTGCTTGAGAAATTGTAGCAACAGGTTCTGTGCGGCAGGAAACTGTTGCAAGGTGGCTTTATCCAGCTCAATCTTGGCTTGAATGTGCTCCTGGACCTTCAAGATCTTGCCTTCTTTGACTTGAGACAGCAAGGTCTCCCAGGGCCCTTCCACACAGCCATATAACCCAGAATATCAAGGCAGAAAATACCACAATATCTACTTAGAACTGGGTTATTTGAATTCCACACTGCCATATATTCCAGTTCAAAGCAAATCATGGGGGATTTTGTTCAGCTGTGTGGAAAGGGCCCCAGAACACTGCTTCCTGTAATAATGAGAAAGATTGGGTTGTTGTAGGTTTTTTCGGGTTATATGGCCATGTTCTAGAGGCATTTTCTCCTGTTGTTTCGCCTGCATCTATGGCAAGCATCCTCAGAGGTAGTGAGGTCTGTTGGAACTAGGAAAATGGGTTTATATATCTGTGGAATGACCAGGTGGGACAAAGGACTCTTGTCCGCTGGAGCTAGGTGTGAATGTGTCAACTGACCACCTTGATTAGCATATGGTTGCCTGGCAGTGCCTGGGGCAATCTTTTGTTGAGAGGTGATTAAATTAGCATTTGATGGCACTGCCTGGCCATCAAATGCTAATCGCGGTGGTCAGTTGAAACATTCACACCTAGCTCCAGCAGACAAGAGTTCTTTGTCCCACCCTGGTTATTTCACAGATATTTAACCCCCTTTTCCTAGTTCCAACAGACCTCACTACCTCTGAGGATGCTTGCCATAGATGCAAGCGAAACGTCAGGAGAGAATGCTCTAGAACATGGCCATATAGCCCGGAAAACCTACAACAACCCAGTGAGTCCAGCCATGAAAGCCTTGACAATACAGTGAGAAAGACCTTCTTGCTCAGGTGTTCCTCTTGTTTGCGTTCCAGGTCTTTGGGTGGCGATGTGGCCTCCGATGGGGACTTCCTCATCTTTGAAGGCAACCGGTACAGCCGGAAAGGGTTCCTCTTCAAGAGCTTTGCCATGTCTGCGGTGGTAAGGATTGGAAAACCTGAGGGTTTGATTTGAGGAGGAGAAGAACAAGCATTGTTGCTGTTGTGGAAAGCACAGCAAATATAAGATTTTATTTATCATATCAGATGCAAATTGAGGGTGCAGTTGCAATGTATTTAAAAACACAATGTTAAACTTAGCATTGTGCTAAATGTCCTTTGACCAGAAACTGGCCACTTGGAGTGCCTCTGGTATGGCTGTAAGAAGGTCCTCCATTGTGCATGTGGCAGGGCTCAGGCTGCATTGTACTAAGTGGTCTGTGGTTTGTTCTTCTCTGCACTCACATGGCGTGAACTCCACTTTGTGGCCCCATTTCTTAAGGTTGGCTCTGCATCTCATGGTGCCAGAGTAGTCTGTTAATCACCTTCCAAGTTGCCCCATCTTCTGTGTGCCCAGGAGGGAGTTTAGTCTCAACCACTGATTGAGGCTCTGGGTGTTAGCCTGCCACTTTTGGACTCTCGCTTGCTGAGCTGTTCCTTCAACTACCTCTGTAGATCTTAGGAAGCTATTTTTTATTTAAGGCATTGGCATTCTGACTGATATCCGAACAGTGGATGCGCTGGAGATGTCACTGCCTTGGTCCTTTCACTATTGGTTGCTACTTCCCGGCGGATATTAGGTTATGCAATACCTGCCAAACAGTGTAATTTCTCCAGTGGTGTAGGGCGCAAACACTCCGTGATCATGTGGCATGTCTCATTAAGAGCCACATTCACTGTTTTAGCATGGTGAGATATGTTCCGCACTGGGCATGTGACCAGAAATGACCAGAGGCTCTCTGGGTGTTTTGGACTTCAACTTCCACAATTCCTAACAGCTGATAGATCTCTGTAGATCTTAGGAAGCTATTTTTCGATTTAAGACATTGGCATACTGGCTGATAACCAAACAGTGGTTGCGCCAGAGATGTCACAGCCTTGGTCCTTTCATTGCTGGGTGCTACTTCCCAGCGGATGTCAGGTGATTTAATACTGGTATAATATAATTAACAGTATAATTTCTCAAGTGGTTTAAGGTGTAGGCATCCTGGGACAATGTGGCAAGTCTCATTAAAAGCCACATCCACTGTTTTAATGTGGCAAGATGTATTCCACACTGGGCATGCATACTCAGCAGCAGAGTAGCAAAGCACCAGGGCAGATGCCTTCACTGTGTCTGGTTGTGATCCCCAGGTTGAGCCAATCAGCTTTCATATGATATTATTTCTAGTGCCCACTTTTTGCTTGATGTTCAGGCAGTGCTTCTTGTAAGTCAGAGCACAGTCCAGAGTGACTCCCAGGTATTTGGGTGTGCTGCAATGCTCCAGTGGGATTCCTTCCCGGGTCAACCTCAGAGCTCGAGATGCTTGTCTGTTCTTAAGATGGAAAGCACATGTCTGCAGTCTAGATGGATTAGGGATCAGCTTGTTTTCCCTGTAATAGGCAGTAAGAGCACCTAAAGCTTCAGAGAGCTTCTGTTCAACCATTTCAAAGCTCTCTGCTTGGGCAGTGATGGCACGATCATCAGCATAGATGAAACTTTCTGTTCCTTCTGGCAGTGGCTGATTATTTGTGTAAATGTTAAACATTTAACATTTAACAACCATGCTCCCCTGAGGCAGGCAAATATTAGATGCCTGGTCTACAGAAGGAAATATACGCTTGGCATTGTGCTCATTCAGTAACTGAGAGCATCTTCCAACTGCCACATGGATGTATTTTGGTTTTGTTTTGTTTTGTTTTCTGCTCATCAGATCACAGAAGGAGTGAAGCCCACTCTGTCTGAGCTGGAAAAATTTGAGGACCAACCAGAAGGCATTGACTTGGAGGTGGTGACCGAAAGCACAGGTAGAGAGCTGGGGATGGTGGCAATATGGGTAGAGAGCTGGGGATGGTGGCACCCATATGGTACTGGCTTTGCTTGTTTGATTTTCTTGGCACTGAATGTTTGCCGTGTATGTGTACTGTGATCCGCCCTGAGTCCCCTTCGGGGTGAGAATGGCGGAATATAAATGAAGTGTTGTTGTTGTTGTTGTTGTTGTTTTGTTGTTGTTATTATTCTTATTCTTATTATTATTATTCTGATACAAAAGCACAGTATGTCACAGCAAATGAGATACATATGATGGATTTTGTGTTGGTGTTCTTGTTGTTGTTAATTAAGGCCATTTAAAACCTGTTTTAAGCAGATTAAACACCATTCATGCTGGGCTTCTCTTGTGTCTGCTTTAGGAAAGGAACGGGAACACAACTTCCAGCCCGGTGACAACGTGGAGGTGTGCGAAGGGGAGTTGATCAACCTGCAGGGCAAGATCCTGAGTGTGGATGGGAACAAAATCACCATCATGCCAAAGCATGAAGACCTCAAGGTATGGTTTTGGGGGCTACCTGGGTCTCAGGACAACATTGTGCCTTCCTTTCTTATCCTGTCCTGTCATATCCTTTAAGTTTCCTCTTGAAAGATATCCCAGTGTTGAGAGGAAACTGTGGGCTGCCATGTGGAGGGAGATTTTCCCCTTCTATTTCTGCCACTCTACCAACAAACGTCCAGTCATAGAATCCTAGAGTTGGAAGAGACCCTAAAGGACCATCCAGTTGAACCCTGTTCTGCCATTCAGGAAGACACTATCCGATCCCTCTGGACAGATGGCCATCCAGCCTCCGTTTAAGGACTTCTGTAGAGTCATAGAGTTGAATTGTAAATGTGCTTATGTTTCCATCCAGTAATAATAAACAGAGTAAAATACTAAATGTAATAATAACAACAATAATGATAAAGTAATGGAAATCTAACTAGTTGTGCGGGTACGGCTGTACCAGGAGCTCCAACTTCTTTTCCTTTCTATTGAGTGTTAGCATGTATTCCAAAGTTCCATGCATTTTGCAATAAGGTGGCTTCCCTTGGTTTGCAATCATAGGGCCAATGACCCATCAGTTATCATTATGTTCTTTAGTTCCGCCCCTTTTTCTGGGTTAAGGAGGGAAAAAGGGGACCTCTAGTTCAGTTCACACAGAGAAGCCTTTTGTACAGGACGTGAATCAGTTCCACCTGTAGAAAGCTTCGTCTTTTACAGCTTTGCTGGGGGGATCCAGTCCCACAGCTCTACAGAGAACTACAGCATAGCCTTTGTTGGGGAATTTAGTTCCACAACTCTACAGCCAACTCTTTGTTGGAGAAATACAGCTCCACAGTTTTACAGCCAGCCTTCGCTGGGAATTGAAAGCCTTCTTTCCGCTTGGAATTCTACTAAAGGACTCTGTTTGGTAAAGACCACTCGCAGCAGCCATAACGCAATTTGGACCGGGTGTAGGGGCACACGCCACCAGAACTTAAGTCAGATTGCCCAGGGAGAGGTGAAGGATTTCCCTTGTAGAAGGAAGGAACAGTTTATGAAGAAAGTTGCCTGTCCCTTGTGGACAAGATTTAAGCAAGCCACCAGTTGATTCAAAGCCTTGAAGTATTTCTTTGATTTATTGAAGATTTAAGCAACAATAAAAACATTTTTGAACTTTCTAAGTTTTTAAAAGAACTTTGTGTGGGGAAATCTGAAAGGCCTCTCAGCTGAGGCACCCCTGGCGTCCCGTTGGGCATTCAGAAAACACGTCCTGTCTACAGACTCTTTCACAGGCCCAGCGCGTGACAGCACAGTAATAATAGAGTAAAATAATATCATTATTGTTGTTGTTATTACATTTATTATTTTACTCTCTTTATTATTATTGGAAGGATATGTAGCCTCATTTAGATTGAAGTGTATTAGAATAATGTTTTTTTTTATTTGACTATAATTTTAATCTATAAGAAAAAAAACACTTGTGAAACAAAGTAATTGGTTTTAAAAGCCATAATCGTCTTTTTTTTAAAAAAAATGCTTAATATTAAAGAAGATTTCAAGGCACTACATGTAGAAAGTGAAATTAATTGCAATAATAACATTCTAAAATCTCAACAAAAAAGAGTAAAATTGAGAAGCATCAAATTAAAATAATACATCTATGTAACACAGTCAAAAAGCTTTTAAACTCAGTCTGCAGAAATGTCATTTACAAGTATGGAAGACTAGTAGGGAGAGGACAGGACAATTTTATGAATTTTTATGATATACCAGTTATAAAATCTATAGGCAAAAGTATGATAATAATATTCTAATAAAAGTATTAGAATAATAGTTTAATCAGAGTTGGAGAGTCTTATCTTATATTACAGTTTATGTAAATAATCAAAAACATTTAACCTATTGATGCCTCATTTAAAGTAATTTTATTAGTATCTATATTTATTTTGAAATTGACCAGTAGCTGCTGCATTTCCCACCCTCGGCTTAGACTCAAGTGAATATGTTTTCCCAGTTTTTTGTGGTAAAATTAGGTGCCTTAACTTATATCCGGGTCAGCTTATACTCGAGGATATACGGTACCCAGGATATAGTCCTATTCCAGGTGGGACCTGGCCAAAACAGAAGAGAGTGGGGCTGTGACTTCCCTTGATCTGGGTACTAGATTCCTCTTGATAAACACGGCGGGCCTTTCTCTCCAGGACATGTTGGAGTTCCCGGCCCAGGAATTGCGCAAATACTTCCGGATGGGGGACCACGTGAAGGTGATCGCGGGGCGCTTTGAAGGCGACACGGGACTCATTGTGCGCGTGGAGGAAAACTTCGTCATTCTCTTCTCTGACCTCACGATGCATGAGGTGAGTGCGAGGGATGAGAAGGGACTCGAATGGCATGACCTAATAGTGGTCCTTTTATGTGGAATCATTCAGGCACTTGATGTGGAGCGAGGAGCAGAAAAGCTGTCATGTTTTGCCATTCTGGTCAAAGAGTAAACATTTTCCTGTGGAGCCGTACTGTTTTGCAATGATTGCTGCAGAAACTTAATAAATAATAATAATAAACTTTATTTATACCCTGCCACCATCTCCCTAATGGGGACTCGGAACGGCTTACATGAGGCCAAGCCCAAACAATAATTACATAAATTAAAACCGAAAAACACAAATAATAAACAACAACAATGTAATAACATAATTACTTCAGAGTTTGGGACAGTTTGAGTCTTGTGTTGAACCAAGGTCTTGATCTCTTTTTTACCCTATTATTGTGTTCCTTCTGTCTTAAGATCTACTCCCATTCCAACTCTGTTGAGACAGGCTCAGACTCATGATTTATGATCTGGAAGCTCTAACCCAAGCATGGGCCACCTTGGACCCTCCAGATGTTTTGGACTTCAACTCCCACAATTCCTAACAGCCTACCGGCTGTTAGGAATTGTGGGAGTTGAAGTCCAAAACACCTGGAGGGCCCAAGGTGGCCCATGCCTGGACTATAGATTCTGATACCCTTGGATGTCTCCCATCCTTTGTTTATTTATTTATTTATGACGTTTATATGCTGCCCTTCTTACCCCAAAGGGGACTCAGAGCAGCTTACAGGTATATATTACATACAATATATTATATTATTAGCATAGTACAATATCAGCATTAAACATTGCTATATTGTACCATACCACTATATTGTAATATTATTAGTAATATTACATGTAATATAAATATATAATTATAATGTCATATTATTATATTGCATTACATTATAATATTATAAATATTATATGTATACACAATATATTATATTATATTATTAGAATAGCACAGGAGACAAGGTGGAACTGTCCCCTGGCCCCCTCTCTCTTCACTCTGGCCCAGAGCGACAGTTGGTGCTTGGGGGAGGGGTCTCCAGCTGATGGCATATCCAGGAGACAATAGGGTTTTGTTTATTTATGACATTTATATGCCACCCTTCTCACCCTGAAGGGGACTCAGAGCGGCTTACAAGGTATATATGCATACAATATATTATTAGCATAGTACAATATTTCTATACTGTACTATATTATTATACTGCAATATTATTAGTAATATTACATGTACTATAAATATATAATTATAATATATTATTATTATTGGTAGTAGTATTATATTGCATTACATTTATTTATTCATCGTGTCAGGAGCAACCAGACAGTTGTATTACATTTTTTAACAAACAAACAAACAGAACACAAAGTTTGCAAGCTTGGTAGTTGATTAGATGTCCTTTGACCAGTATCTGGCCCCTTGGAGTGCCTCTGGTGTTGCTGCAAGAAGGTCCTCCCTTGTGCATGTGGCAGGGCTCAGGTTGCATTGCAGCAGGTGGTCAGTGGTTTGCTCTTCTCCACACTCGCATGTCGTGGATTCCACTTTGTGGCCCATTTCTGAAGGTTGGCTCTGCATCTCGTGGTGCCAGAGCGCAGTCTGTTCAGCGCCTTCCAAGTCGCCCAGTCCTCTGTGTTCCCAGGGGGGAGTCTCTCATTTGGTATCAGCCATTGGTTGAGGTTCTGGGTTTGAGCCTGCCACTTTTGGACTCTCGCTTGCTGAGGTGTTCCAGCGAGTGTCTCTGTAGATCTTAGAAAACTATTTCTTGATTTAAGTCGTTGACGTGCTGGCTGATACCCAAACAGAGGGAGGAGCTGGAGATGTCCCTTGTTTGGGTATCAGCCAGCACGTCAACGACTTATATGTATATACAATATATATTATATTATGTTATATTATATTATATTATTAGAATAGCACAGGAGACAAGGTGGAACTGTCCCCTGCCCCCCCCCCTTCACTCCGGCCCAGAACGGCAGTTGGTGCTGGGGGTGGGAGGGGTCCCCAACTGATGGCATATGCAGGAGACAAGATGGTTTATATTGTTGATGTTCCTGATCCGAATCCAAAAGTGCTTTCTCAGTCTCAGTTGCCATCTTTCCCTCCTGCAGCTCAAAGTCCTGCCCCGGGATCTTCAGCTCTGCTCGGAGACGGCTTCCGGTGTGGACGCGGGCGGGCAGCATGAGTGGGGGGAGCTGGTGCAGCTGGACCACCAGACTGTCGGCATCATCGTCCGGCTAGAACGGGAGACCTTCCAGGTTAGTGCCACTGCCTTTTGCTGTTTGGCTGGAAGATTTGGGCATCTCAGAGTCCCCCTCTTGCACTCTGCCACCTTGGTTGTGGATGCCTTTCATCTCCTGCAATAAAGGCAAAATAATAGAGAGGAGCCTTTTTGGGCTTCCTCTCTCACAAATACACTTTTTATTCCTGTCTCACCCAGGGTTTTTAACTTTTTAACATTTTATCTCATACATATGGCCCGCCCTTTGTATTTGATTTTACTATCCTATTTTATACTGTTTATTTTATTTGTTATTTTATATATTTTGTTATGATGTATTTTTCTGTTTTTGTGTCTAATTATGTTGTATTATTTTTGGGCTTGGCCTCATGTTAGCCGCCCTTGGGGAGATGGTGGTGGATTATAAATAAAGATTATTATTATTATTACTACTACTACTACTACTAGCTGTCCCCTGCCACGCGTTGCTGTGGCCCACATGGGGGTTCTTTGTGGGAGGTTTGGCCCAATTCTATCGTTGGTGAGGTTCAGAATACTCTGCGATTTTAGGTAAACTATAAATCGCAGCAACTACAATTCCCAAATGTCAAGATTCTATTTTGCCCAAACTCCAGCAGCGTTCCCATTTGGGCATATTGAGTATTCATGTAGAGTTTGGTCCAGATCCATCATTGTTTGAGTCCACAGTGATCTCTGAATGTAGGTGAACTACAACTCCAAAACCAAAGGACACTGCCCACCAAACCCTTCCAGTATTTTCTGTTGGTCATGGGAGAACTGTGCGCCAAGTTTGGTTCCATCATTGGTGGGGTTCAGAATATTCCTTGATTGTAGGTGAACTATAAATCCTAGCAACTACAACTTCCAAATGACAAAATCAATTTTTTGAGTGAAGGACATACATTGGGTTGTTAGGTTTCTTGTGTCCAAATTTGGTGTCAATTCGTCCAGTGGTTTTTGAGTTATGTTAAGCCCACAAACTAACATTACATTTTTATTTATATAGATTATTATTATTATACAGCCTCTCTACTTAGTTATCAGTAGAATGTCCTTATCTTGCCATAAACAAGCAGTTTCCTTGGCACTCCAAATAGCTTCAGCGTCAGGATGCTGCATAACCACTCCCAGCAACAGCCAAAGGTTCCTTCAGCTGAAACAAGCCATCAAGCTAAGCCAAACACAAAGCTCGAAGCTTGCAAACCTAGTGCCTTGTTATATGCTGAAGCAGATAACACACCCAATTAACCTGTGACAGCTGTAACAGGAAAGGTTCTGATCCTCCCTGTTGCTTAGGAAAAAAACTATTGCAAACCTCTAGTAGCAATAGTTTCCTCCTCCCTTCCCTGAATGAGCTACTTCCTCTTGCCTGCAGGTCCTCAACATGTATGGCAAAGTGGTGACGGTCAGGCACCAGGCTGTGAACCGGAAGAAAGACAACCGATTCGCCGTGGCCTCGGACTCCGAGCAGAACAACATCCACGTGAAGGACATCGTGAAAGTCATTGACGGGCCGCACTCGGTGAGGGGTTGGGTCTCTGAGAATATACTGAGTTTGCGCACAAGTTGAAGTTTCACTGAGAGATTGGTTGACAAAGATGGAAACGCTCTCCTGCTGGGCTGCCTTTTAAAAATACCTTATATATGTCATTTGCCCTGTGGAGGAGCTACCAAACTGTCCTAAACTGCAGATCCTTGGGATGAAATGCACTCACAAAGTAGTTTGGAAACAGATTCCTTTACTCCGGATCATTACAGAATGGAAAGAAAGCTATTTCTGATATTTGCGTGTGAGAGCATTGTAAAATCCGCTTCTCCTCCACAAACCTCTACTACTCTGTTTCCAAGCTCTATTCCCTAGCTATCACTCTATTGCAGTGTTTCTCAAACTGGGGGTCAGGGCCCCTGGAGGGGTCGTGAGCAGATGTCAGAGGGGTCGCCAGAGACCATCAGAAAACACAGTATTTTTTGTTGGTCATATCTGGGATGTTTGGTCCAATTCTATCACTGGTGGGGTTCAGAATGCTCTTTGATTGTAGGTGAACTATAAATCCCAGTCACTACAACTCACAAATGTCAAGGTCTATTTTTCCCAAACTCCACCAGTGTTCACATTTGGGCATATGGAGTATTTGTGCCAAGTTTGGTCCAATTCCATAATTGTGCTCTAGCTGGAGGTAGGTGAACTACAACTCCAAAACTCAAGGTCAATGCCCACCAACCCCTTCCAGTATTTTTTGTTGGTTGTGGGAGTTCTGTGTGCCAAGTTTGGTTCAGTTCCCTCATTGGTGGAGTTCAGAATGCTCTTTGATTGTAGGTGAACTATAAATCCCAGCAAGTACAACTTTCAAATGACAAAATCAATTCTCTGTCCAACCCCACCAGTATTCAAATTTTGGCATATTGGGTAAGGTAAGGTAAACGTTTTCCCCTGACATTTAAGTCCAGTAGTGTCCAACTCTGGGGGTTGGTGCTCAATTTCTAGGCCAAAGAGCCAGTGTTGTCCATAGACACCTCCAAGGTCATGTGGCCGTTATTGGGTATTTTTGCCAAATTTGGTCCAGTGAATGAAAATACATTCTGCATTTCAGATATTTTCATTATGATTCATGACAGTGACACAATTAACATTAGGAAGTAGCAACGATAATAATTTTATGGTTGGGAGTCACCACAACATGAGGCGCTGTATAAAGGGGTCGCGGAATTAGCAATGCTCTATTGCTAGCCCATTGCTATCAGCATTGTTTGTTATCATTTTCCAGCCCTTTATTCTCGGCCTTCAGTACCAATAGATGGCCCTGGCTTAATGCCCTGCTGTCAGTTTCCATCCGTGGCCTGGTTTCCTTTGAGGTCTTCTCTTGAAGTTCCAAAGGGTGTCACGACAACATCTGACTTCCCTTCCGCTTCTTCCTGGTCTTTCCAGGGCCGAGAGGGGGAGATCCGGCATCTCTTCAAAGGTTTCGCCTTCCTCCATTGCAAGAAGTTGGTGGAAAACGGGGGCATGTTTGTGTGCAACGCGCGCCATTTGGTCCTGGCTGGAGGCTCAAAGGTAAGGAGGGATCTGCCTTCCCTTTGACCATTAAGAAGAGTCATAAAAGTGGGTTATTGAGACAGAGTGCTCTATTCAGAGGCAGGGGAAGGAGTCCATTAAGGCTTTCAAGGAAATAATGTCATGCAATAGTACATTCCAAGATTAATGTCGTGTTTTTATCTTATCTTATTTTTAGTTATTTAATATTTCTTTATGGAGCAGTGGGTTAAAGCGCCGAGCTGCTGAGCTTGTTGACCGAAAGGTCGCAGGTTCAATTCCGGGGAGTGGCGTGAGCTTCCGCTGTCAGCCCTAGCTTTGTCTGATTTACACACAGCAGGGCAGGAACTAGACATTTAAATATTACCCTGTCAGTTTGTCACAGCCACTGAACCGCACTGGATCAGATGAATTCCAATTCCAGGCTTAGCACAGCAGACTAAATATCTGTGCTGCAGAAAACTCCTGCTGATCTAAAGTTTGGCAGTTTGAGCCCGGGTTGGGGTGAGCACCTGCTGTTAGCCCCAGCTCACCTGCCCACCTAGCAGGTGGAAAGCGGAAATGCAAGTTAATAAAGGGAGGTAATAAAGGTGCCCTTAAGGACATCAATGGGAGGAAAGCTCCTCGGCATGCAAGATGGAGCAACAGGACTCCCTCTGGCCAGAGTTGAGCACAGCCTCCAAGATGCTGGAAATAAAATGGGGAGAACTGCCTTTACCTCTGTTTGTGTTGTCTGCCCTTGTTAATTGTGTAATCGGCATTGAATGTTTGCCATATGTGTGTACTCTGTAAGCTGCTCTGAGTCCCCTTCGTGGTGAGAAGGGTGCGGTATCTATATAAATAAAAATGTAATGTTTGTTTGTGGGATTAACATAACTCAAAACCCCCTTGACGAATTGACACCAAATTTGGACACAAGACACCTAACAGACTAACAAGTGACCATCACTCATAAAATCCCACAAAAAAGCAATGGAAAGGACTAAAAAACCCCAAAAGCTAAATGACGATACAGGAAGGAAGGGGAGAAAGAAAGAAGGAAGAAAGCATGGAAGCAAAAAGCGAAGGAAGGAAGGAAAGAGGTAGAGAAGGAAGGAAGGAGAGAAGGAAAGAAAAAAAAGGAAAGGGGAGCAAAGGAAGAAAGGAAAGAGGTAGAAAAGGAAGAAATAGAAAGAGGGAGGGAAGAAAGAAAGAAGGAAAGACAGAAGGAAGGATGGAAGCAAACAGCGAAGGAAGGAAAGAGAGAGAAGAAAGGAGAGAAAGAGGAAAAGAAAAGGGGAAGGAAAGAAAAGGTTAGAGAAGGAAGGAAGGAGAGAAGGAAAGAAAAAAGGAAAGGGGGAGCGAAGGAAGAAGGGAAAGAGGTAGAGAAGGAAGAAAGAGAAAGAGGGAAGGAAGGAAAGAAGGAAAGACAGAAGAAGGATGGAAGCAAACAGCAAAGGAAGGAAGGAAAGAGAAAAGGAAGAAAGGAGAGAAAGAGGAAAAGAAAAAGGGGAGGAAAGAAAGGGGTAGAGAAGGAAGAAAGGAGAGAAGGAAAGAAAAAAGGAAAGGGGGAGCGAAGGAAGAAAGGAAAGAGGTAGAGAAGGAAGAAAGGAGAGAAAGGAAAAGAAAAGGGGTAGAGAAGGAAAAAAGGAGAGAAAGAAAGAAAAAAGGAAAGGGATCAAAGGAAGAGGAAAAGAGGTAGAGAAGGAAGAAAGGAGAGAAAGAGAAGGAAAAGTAAAAGGGAAGAAGAAAGAGGTAGAGAGGGAAGAAAGGAGAGAAGGAAAGAATAAAAGGGAAGGAAAGAGGAAAGGAGAGAAAGAGGGAGGGAAGGTTGGCCACAGCAACGTGTGGCAGGTACAGCTAATAAATAATAAATACATAAATAAATAATTTTTGCAAGATTTCTAAGTCTCTCGTTCTTTTTCCCCCTCCCGCAGCCTCGGGACGTCACCAATTTCACCATTGGCGGCTTTGCCCCCATGAGTCCCCGCATCAACAGCCCCATGCATCCCAGCGCTGGAGGTGAGTCGGGGAGGAACAAATGTGAGGTGGCAACAAACTGCATGCACCATAGTGCAAGGGGATGACACCTTCCCATGGCTTAGCTCAGGCATACTTGTCCTTCTCTTCCTCAGGGCAACCTGGCGGCTTTGGGGGAGGCGGCATGAGCCGAGGCCGTGGCCGCAGGGACAATGACCTCATTGGGCAGACTGTGCGGATCTCCCAAGGGCCCTACAAAGGTAAGCCGCCCCCATTTGAGACAGGTATCAACGTTCCCTGAATGGTCTAGAGCAGTGGTTCTCAACCTTTCTAACACCATGTCCCATAATATGCTTCCTTGTGTTGTGGTGACCCCCAACCATAAAATTATTTTCGGCCTTGTGCGAAGGGCCCTCGTCTGCTTCGCGCCCTTGCCAGTCGGCAGGAGTGCGAGGGAGGCCTCGCGCAAGGTGGAGGAGCTGACCTGGAAAGCCTGGCTGTTTCCCTGGCACAGGGGCTGGCACCCATTTTGAGGAGGCGGAGGGGGCGAGGCCAACCGAGGCACCTTCGCGACCCCCAGAAAATGGCACAGCAACCCACCTAGTGGTTGCGACCCCCAGGTTGAGAACCGCTGGTCTAGAGTCAGACATGCACAAACTTTGGCCCTCCAGGTGTTTTGGACTAATAGTAGGCTGTTAGGAATTGTGGGAGTTGGAGTCCAAAACACCCGGAGGGCCAAAGTTTGTCCAGGCTTGGCCTTGACTTTCCTGCTCCCTGAACCACAACCAACATGGCTGGAAACCCTCTTAAGTTCCATTGGGACCCTTTAGAGACTCCAGATGATTGAACTGAACTCAGGTCTCTCTTCCAGGCTACATTGGGGTGGTCAAAGATGCCACGGAATCCACTGCCCGTGTGGAGCTTCACTCCACCTGCCAGACCATCTCCGTTGACCGGCAGCGACTCACTACAGTGTAAGAGCTGATGGGAATGATACAATTGGGGGACAGGATTACAGATAGAGAGAAATGCATTATATAGTTCTGTGCTGACCCTAGGATGCCCTTCAATGCCATTAGAAGTGCAGATACCCGAAGCTCAGGAGCTGGGTCTCCACTTGGAGTCATCTCGTGATGGGTCATTATGCCGCAGTGTTTGTATACGTCACCTCTCTGGAAAATAGAGAGATGGGAATATGCTCTCATGACTATTGTAACTTGCACTTTATCTCCCCTGACTTTGATAGTGGTTCGCGGAGACCAGGCGGCATGACTTCTGCTCACAGCCGGACCCCGATGTATGGTTCCCAGACCCCGATGTACGGCTCAGGGTCTCGCACTCCCATGTATGGCTCCCAGACTCCGCTCCATGACGGTGAGTGATAGAATCCTACCAGCTGTTAGGAATTGTGGGAGTTGAAGACCAAAACAACTCAAATTTGTCCATTTGTTTATTTATTTACAACATTTATATACCTCCCTTCTCACCCCGAAGGGGACTTACAGCGGCTTACAAGTAATATGTAAATCCAATATATTATATTACTAGCTGTGCCCACCACGCGTTGCTGTGGCCAACCTTCCCTCCCTCTTTCTCTCCTCCTTTCTTTCTCTCCTTCCTTCCTTTCCTCCCTCTTTCCTTCCTTCTTTTTTTCTTTCATTTTCTCTTTCCTTCCTTCCTTCCTCTTTCTCTCCTTCCTTCCTTCCTTCCTTCCTTCCTTCCTTCCTCTCCTTTCTTCCTTCTCCACCTCTTTCCTTCCTTCCCCCCTTTTTCTTTTCCTCCCTCTTTCTCTCCTTTCTTCTTCCCTTCCTTTCTCTCCTTCCTTCGCTCCCTCTTTCTTTCCTTCCTTCCCTTTTTTCTTTCTCTCCCTCCTCTTCTATCTCTTTCCTTCCTTCCCCCTTTTTCTTTTCCTACTTCTTTCTCTCCTTCCTTCCTTCATTTGCTCTTTGTTTCCATCCTTTGTTCTCTCTTTCCTTCTTTCTTACCCTCCCTCTTTCTCTCCTTTCTTCTTTCTCTTCTTTCCTCCTTCCTTCCCTTTCTCTCCTTCCTTCACTCCCTCTTTCTTTCCTTCCTTCCCTTTTTTCTTTCTTTCTCTCCTTCCTTACTCTTCTCTTTCCTTCCTTCCCCCCCCTTTTCTTTTCCTACTTCTTTCTCTCCTTCCTTTGCTCTTTGCTTCCATTTTTCCTTCTCTCTTCCCTTCTTTCTTGCCCTCCCTCTTTCTCTCCTTTCTTTCTTTCTTTCTTTCTTTCTTTCTTTCTTTCTTTCTTTTCTTCCTTTCTTTTCTTTTCTTTCCTTCTTCCCTTTCTTTTCTTCTCCTTTCTCTCTTTCTTTCTTCCCTCCCCTTTCTCTCCTTCACTCCCTCTTTCTTTCCTTCCTTCGTTCCCTTTTTTCTTTCTCCCCTTCCTTCCCTCTTCCTTTCCTTTTTTCTGCATCGTCATTTAGCTTTTCGTCATTTAGCTTTTTTAGGTTTTTAAGTCCTTTCTGCTGTTTTTTTTTGGGAGGGGGTTATGAGTGATGGTCCCTTGTTGGTCTGTTAGGGGTATAGTGTCCACATTTGTTGTTAATTCGTCCAGTGGTTTTTGCGTTATGTTAATCCCACAAACGAACGTTGCATTTTTATCTATATAGATTATATTATATTATTAGCACAGGAGACAAGATGGAACTGTCTTCCTAGTCTCTCTCTTCACTCTGGACCCAGAGCAGCAATTGGTGCTGGGGAAGGGGCTCCCAACTGATGACGCAGGAGACAAGATGGAACTGTCTTCCTAGCCCTCTCTTTAAGCCCTGTCTGACTTAAAGCATCCCGTGGTGTTTTTGCATCTCTTTCAGGCAACCGGACCCCCCATTACGGCTCCCAGACCCCGTTACATGACGGCAGCCGGACCCCGGCGCAGAGCGGGGCTTGGGACCCCAACAATCCCAACACGCCATCAAGGTTGGTGCCGCTTGGCAGAGGAAGAGGGAGGAAGGCAAGGCCGCTGTGAAAGGGCCAAACTGACCGCTTTCTTTGTTCTCATTGCCTCCTTCAGGGCAGAGGAAGAGTTCGACTACGGCTTCGACGACGAACCCACCCCTTCGCCGCAGGGCTATGGAGGGACCCCCAACCCACAGACCCCGGGCTATCCGGACCCTTCCTCCCCACAAGTCAACCCTCCCTACAACCCTCAGACCCCTGGCACACCGGCCATGTGAGTATACGCCTGTTGTGTTCTTTAATCTGTTTTCAGAGTGACTTGTAGAGAATGAAGTCCAGGCACGGGCCAACTTGGGGTGTTTTGGACTTCAACTCCCACAATTCCTGGCCTCAGGCCCCTTCCTTTTCCCCCTCAGCCGCTTAAGCGGCTGAGGGGGAAAAGGAAGGGGCCTGAGGCCAGGAATTGTGGGAGTTGAAGTCCAAAACACCCCAAGTTGGCCCGTGCCTGGAACACAAAATCTCAGAAGAGCAAAAGGTATTAACTTTGAGGAAAATAACGCGGTTCTTGAGTTTCCCTCCTTCTCTTTTGCGGCAGGTATAACACGGACCAGTTTTCTCCATACGCCGTCCCTTCCCCTCAAGGCTCCTACCAGCCGAGTCCCAGCCCCCAGAGCTTCCATCAAGTGGCGCCGAGTCCCGTGGGCTACCAGAACACCCATTCGCCAGCCAGTTACCATCCAACGCCGTCGCCAATGGCATACCAGGTAATGTAGTAGAGTTTTGCTTCTGAAAAAAAACAAAGTACTTAAAACAAATCACAGGTCGTGTAAAAGCTTTGGGAGAAACTGATTGTCAATGCTTCCCTGCTAGAAATCTATATAAATAAAAATGTAATGTTCGTTTGTGGGATTACCGCAACTCAAAAACCACTGGATGAATTGATATCAAATTTGGACACAAGACACCTCTCAGGCCAACAAGTGACCATTACTCATGAAAACACTGAAAAACGCAGCGGAAGAGACTTAAATAGCCAAAATAATAAAAAATACATTACAACGCATACACAAAACCACATACTGTATATTATGATTATTATTACATTTATTATTTTATTGTTGTTATTATTACATTTATTATTTTACTCTATTATTGTTATTGTTACATTTATTATTTTACTGTATTGTTATTATTACATTTATTATTTTACTCTATTAGTTTTATTTTACTCTATTTATTATTATTGGAGGACATATAAGCATATTTACATTGAAGAAGGTTAGAATAATGCAGGGCTCCTCAACCTTTTTACTGTCCCTCAGACCATTGGAGGGCCGGACTATAGTTTTTTTTAAAAAAAATCAATTAAACCATTCCTCTGCACCTTGCACATATCTTATTTTGCTGTGTGGAAGGGCCCTTAGAGTGGGTTCTTTCTCGCCCTCTTTAGCTAGTAATTCCAGGAGCAGAGAATGGGAAATCTTCCTATTTCTAGTCTGAACAAAATCTGGCTACCAGTATTTAAAAAAACTCTAAAATTACAACTGTAAATAAAGAACAACACTCAAACACAGGGGAACTCCAGACAAGAAACAATCAGGGCCAGCTAATCACCTCTCAACAAAGGATTCTCCCAGGTATCCCTAAAAACTGTCAGGCTATGAAATGGCAATCGAGGTGGCCAATTGAAACATTCCTACCTACCTCCAACAGACAAGAGTTCTTTCTCCCACCCTGGATCTTCCACAATTTTCCCAGTTAAAGGTTTCCCTCTGACATGTAGTCCAGTCGTGTCCGACTCTGGGGTGTGGTGCTCATCTGCATTTCTAAGTCGAAGAGCAGGCGTTGTCCGTAGACACCTCCAAGGTCATGTGGCCGGCATGACTGCATGGAGCACCGGGGCAGCCTCCCTTGGCTGGCTCACGCTGCCCATCGGAGCAAGGAGCAGCTGCCCTTGGCTGCCTCACGTTGCCCATCAGGCCCAATGGGCAGCATGAGCCTGCCAAGGGAAGAGCAGCACCGCACGGACTACTCGTGCGTAAAGCACCTCGTGAGGTGCTTTACGCGTGAGTAGGCCACGCGGAGCGGCTGCCCTTGGCTGGCTCACGCTGCCCATCGGGCCTGACGGATAGCGCGAGCCAGTCAAGGGCAGCTGCTCCACACACTGTGTGTGTGGTGGGGGGGGCGCTCCTCCCCTGCGGGCCAGATAAGTGCCCTTGGTGGGCCGGAAGTGGCTCGTGGGCCGTAGTTGGAGGACCCCTGGAATAATGGTTCACTCAGAGTTGGACATTGAACCTACTGATGCCTAAATTAATATACTGTATATACTCAAGTATAAACCGACTCAAATAAAAGCCGAGGCACCTAATTTTACCAAAAAACCCTGGGAAAACGGATTGACTCGAGTATAAGCCAAGGGTGGGAAATTCAGCAGCTGCTGGTAAATTCCAAAATAAAAATAGAAACCACAGTGACACTCATCCAAATACCAATAAAGACCAAACTTGGCACAGAGAGCCCCCTTGGCCAAATCAACATTCTGGTGAGGTTTGGGGAAGAAGAGACTATGGATGATGGGACTTGCAGTACTATCACTCACTTTCTGAGACCACTGTGACCCTCATCCAATGACTGATCAAGACCAAACTTGGCACACAGAGCCCCCATCCTGGTGCAGTTTGGAGGAGGATGGACCACAGATGATGGGACTCACAGTACCTTCACTAACTTCCTGAGACAACTGCGAGCCATATAAATAACTGATAAAGACCAACCTTGATACACAATTCCTTTCTCAAATAACCCGGGCAGTGCCGGGTCCCCAAGCTAGTAATACATAAACATGAATTGCATGAAAAACTTTTGCTTCAAAAAGGGGCTCCACTGCTAAAAAAAGTTGGAGACCCCCCTGATTTCAACTAACTCTCCCCCATGAATTCCTCCTCCCTCTCCAGGCGAGTCCCAGCCCTAGCCCCGTGGGCTACAGCCCCATGACCCCGGGGGCTCCTTCTCCAGGAGGCTACAACCCACACACTCCGGGCTCCGGGATCGAGCAGAGTTCCAGCGACTGGGTCACCACCGACATCCAGGTCAAAGTGCGCGACACTTACCTGGACAGCCAAGTCGTGGGGCAGACGGGCGTCATCCGCAGCGTGACGGTAAGTGGATGAAAATACATCCTGCAGATCACATGTTTACATGACGATCCATAACAGGAGCAAAATGACAGTTCTGAAGTAGCAACGAAAATAATGTTATGGTTGGGGGTCACTACCACATGAGAAACTGGGTTGCGGCATTAGGAAGGTTGGGAAACACTGCTCTCTGTAGACAAGTGTTGATGCTTCTTCGCTTCCAACAAAGAGGACTTTCCTGTGCTCTCTTCTGTTAAATGGAAAGAGAGTTTACCAGCTAGGCTGTGAACTTTAAAAGAGAGAAGCATGCAAATGCTTCCAGGATTTAGGCAGGTTTTGTTGAGCCTGGTCTCTCGTCACTTTGGTTGTTTCCTCCCTGTCTGCCCCTTCCTTCTTCCTCCTTCCAGGGCGGGATCTGCTCAGTCTACCTGAAGGACAGCGAGAAGGTGGTCAGCATTTCCAGCGAGCATCTGGAGCCAGTTACACCCACCAAGAACAATAAGGTAGGATGAAGGGAATGGGAAGGAGAGGGCTCTCTTCCATCTTGATTCATGGCAAATCACACCCAATCCTCACCTGATGTTGGAAGTCTAAGGATCTGAAACCCCAAACCCTTCTGCTCCCAAGCATTTTGGGAAAGGCACAATCATCATTTTTATTTTTATTAGAATATCCCGCTTTCCTCTCTTAAAGGGGATTCTCAGCAGCTATTCAGTATGATGTAGATGAAGACGGTGGGAGCATATCCCACTGAGGTGCCCCATTTCTACGTGTACAACTACTATTTGCTTCTCTGTATTATTGTTATTGTTATTATTAGACACACAAGATTGCACAGCAAACAAGAACACTATACTGGCTTTTGTATTCTATCCCATGTTGGACATTTCCCAAGTTGTTGTTGTTGTTGTTATTGTTATAGTTATATCCTACTTTATTCTCTTAAAGGGAGAGTTCTGTAATGTATTTATTTATTTGCTGTATTTGTATACCTCCTTTCTCAGCCAATTGGCGGATCAAGGCGGTTTCCAACAAATCAGTATACATAAAATATAACATAGATAAAAAAAAACATTAAACAGTATAAGACATCACAAAAGTAATGTAATGAGAGCATACCCACACTGAGGGGCCCCATTTTTACCTAATCAGCTACTATTTGTTTCTGTCATCATCATTATTATTATTATTATTATTATTATTATTATTATTATTATTATTATTAGATACACAACAAGATGAGTCCACAGCAGACAAGATCACTGCTGGCTGTTGTATTGGATCACATGTTGGACACTTCCCAAGGGTCTGGGACTGTGTGATGTATTGGCAAATAATGCGTGTAGATCCTAGTTGGGTGGCCTTTTGCAGCTGACAGGTGGGGATTTTGTCAGCGCCAATTGTTTTCAAGTGCAGGCCAGGGTCTCGAGGCACTGCACCCAGTGTGCCAATCACCACTGGGACCACCTCTACTGGCTTGTGCCACTCTTTGTAGTTCTATCATTAAATCCTCGTATCACGTCAGCTTTTCCAGTTGCTTCTTGTTAATTCTGCTGTTGCTTAGGATCGCAACATCGATGATCCATACTTTGTTTTTTAATATGATTGTGAAGTCAGGAGTCTTGTGCTCCAAAACTCTGTCCGTCTGAATTCTGTCCCAGAGTAGTTTGACGTGTTCATTTTGTGTATTATTATTATTATTATTATTATTATTATTATTATTATTATTTATTATTACAATGAAATAGTATGATAATTGTAATACTATCCTGCTTCAATGAGATTCAAAGTAGCTTAATAAATAGTAATAATAATAATAATAATAATAATAATAATAATAATAATAATACAATGAAATAGCATAATAATCGTAATACTATCCTTCTTCAGTGAGATTCAAAGTATCTACTCAACCTATATATTATCATGTAGCTGAAGATAGAGCATCTTGCACTGGTCTCTATATTATTGATTGATTGATTGATTAATTATTATATCTCACTTCTCTTTGGTGTCTCATTTTGTTTTCCTGTTAAGCTATTTGGACCTTGTTGCTGCTGCTGCTGCTGTTGTTGTTGTTTTTATATTCCACTTTCAAAGGAGATTCAAAGCAGCTATTCTTTATATTATTAGTATGTAGCTGAAGGCAGTAAGAGTATATTTTATATTATTATTATTATATCCTACTATCTTCTCTTAAAGAAGACTCAAAGCAGCTACTCAACCTTCATGTTATTATTGTGTAGCTGAAGACAGAGTATCTGTTTTTTCCTTTTGTTGTTGTTGTTGTTATATTCCTCTGAAAGGAGACTCAAAGCAGCTAGTCAACCTTTTTATTATTATGTAGCTGAAGACAGTGAGATCATGTTGTTGTTGTTGTTGTTGTATTCTACTTTCTTAAAGGAGACTCAGAGCTACTCAACCTGTATATTATTATGTAGCTGAAGACAGCATCTCCCCACAGTGGTGCCCTGTGTTTTTCTTTTGTTGTTGTTGTTGTTGTTGTTGTTGTTGTTGTTGTATTCCACTTTCTTAAAGGAGACTCAGAGCTACTTTCTTAAAGGAGACTCAGAGCAACCTGTATATTATTATGTAGCTGAAGACAGAGCATCTCCCCACCAAAGTACCTCATTTCTCCCTGTTCAGCTGCTATTTGCTTCTCTTTCTCCGCTTTTTCCAGCTCCGTTTGTACTTGTGCCTCTTCGTCATTGGTGTTATTCACCCAAAGTTAGAACAGGATGGCTGGGATCTTGGTACGGCTCACCTGACAGGACGCTTCACCTTATTTTGCAGGTCAAAGTCATCTTGGGCGAGGACCGGGAAGCCACCGGCGTCCTCTTGAGCATCGACGGCGAGGACGGCATTGTCCGCATGGACTTGGACGAGCAGCTCAAGATCCTCAACTTGCGTTTCCTGGGCAAGCTTTTGGAGGCCTAGATGGAGGGGGAGTCGTGCGAGAGACAGAGAGCGGGTGGCTCTTTTCCTTCTTAGCGTAGCATCTGCAGCCGTCTATGGCGCAGCCTTGTACAGAATGGCTCTTCTTTCCCTGTGGTGGGTGTGTGTTCTGTCGCCGCGTGTTTCCTCGGCCCAACAAGAGGCCTTGCCTTTTAGAGGCGAGAACTTTTCCGTGTGTGCATACAGTGACTTCCGCTGAACACGGCCCTTCCATCCCTTCGGATGGGATTCCATGCCCTCTGCAGCACCAGCGCCGTCCAGCATGTAGCTTCTTTTAATAAAACCATCCGACGCGCCCAACAAACAGGCACTGCTGTGTTCTCTTCAGCAGACCATCGAGTGAATTGGAAAATGTTCTGCACAGCTGGGATGACCATAGAGTTGGAAGGGACCCCCAAGGGTCATCTAGTCCAACTGCCTTCCACTGTTAAGGAAGACACAATCAAAGCCCTACTGACAGATGGCCGTCCAGCCTCTGCTTAAAAACCTCAAGAGATAGAGACTATGCCTTTTAGAAAAAATGTTATTAATAACCTTTTTGAAAACGAAAAATGATGTCATGTCCGTTTGGCAAATGTGAATCTCCATGAACATGTGAGGACCACCTTTTGAAAACTACTAGTCAAGGAAAGGCATGACCTTGTTAGAAGTCAGCCCTTTGCAAAAGTGATGTTCACAAGCATTCATGTAATGGCACACAGGTAACTCAGCTGTTAACCTGACAAACCATGTCACTGAACTGCCAGGGACAAAGACATCCCACTCCACAAAATAACATATATTTGGCTAGAGGGATTAAAATGTTTCTTTGAAGTTGAACAGAATAGGAGCCCCCGGTGGCTCAGTGGGTTAAAGCACTGAGCTGCTGAGCTTGTTGATCGAAAGGTCGCAGGTTCGATTCCGGGGAGCGGCGTGAGCTTCCGCTGTCAGCCCTAGCTTCTGCCAACCTAGCAGTTCGAAAACATGCAAATGTGAGTAGATCAATAGGTACCGCTCCGGAGCGCTCCATGTAGTCATGCTGGCCACATGACCTTGGAGGTGTCTACGGACAACGCTGGCTCTTCGGCTTAGAAATGGAGATGAGCACACACCCCAGAGTCAGACATGACTGGACTTAATGTCAGGGGACTACCTTTACCTTAAAACATATGCTCTCCCTTGAAATCTCTTAGTTTAAAATATACACTCAGAGGACTCCCAAGGCCTATTCAGACCAATCCCCTGCCAGGCAGAAGGACACAATCCAAGCCCTCCTGACTGATGGCCATCTGTGTAAAAGTGTCATGAATGACTTTTCAATGACTTTAAAGCATAAAGGTAAAGGTAAAGGTAGTCCCCTGACATTAAGTCCAGTCATGTCTGACTCTGGGGTGTGGTGCTCATCTCCATTTCTAAGCCAAAGAGCCAGCGTTGTCCGTAGACACCTCCAAGGTCATGTGGCCGGCATGACTGCATGGAGCGCTGTTACCTTCCCGCCAGAGCGGTACCTATTGATCTACTCACATTTGCATGTTTTCGAACTGCTAGGTTGGCAGAAGCTAGGGCTGACAGCGGAAGCTCACGCCGCTCCCCGGAATCGAACCTGCGACCTTTCGATCAACAAGCTCAGCAGCTCAGTGCTTTAACCCACTGCGCCACCGGGGGCTCCTCTTTAAAGCATAGGTTCTTTTTATTTCAATTTCCAGTGTGAGAGGGTATATCACATTATATAAAAACATTTAGACATAAAATGACATTGGACATACAGATTCTATGCAACTACATTGGATTCACAATTACATGGCTAACAAACAAACAAAGGGGAATTACATTTTCACTCAACATTTACACTACATGTACACGCATTCATCCTCAGGCATTCAAATATTACCATATCCTTTTCTTCCTCCTTGGAGAAGCACCTCTTAGGCCAGACCCTGCTTTCCAGCAGCCTGTCAACATACAGTTCCAAAACTTCCATAACTTCAAAGTGCCAGAACTTCTTTCCCTAAGCACAATGCCAAGGACCAGATCTCTGTTTTCCATACAGCAGAACCTGTCTCCCTACACAAAATCTTAAGACTCCAAAAGCACACAATGTGGATAGCATCATATGATGATTGTGTGAACCAACCTGGACACAAGAGTATTATTTGAGGACACATTATTTATTTATTTATTTATTACATTTATATGCTGCCCGTCTCACCCCAAAGGGGACTCAGAGCGGCTTACAAGGTATATATAAATACAATATATTATATTATTAGCATAGTACAATATCAGTATTATATATTACTATATTGTACTATACCATTATATTGTAATATTATTAGTAATATTACTTCGAGTCGCCTGAGGGCTGAGAAAAGCGGTATATAAATATAGTAAATAGTAAATAAATCTATATAAATAAAAATGTAATGTTTGTTTGTGGGATTAACATAACTCAAAAACCACTGGATGAATTGACACCAAATTTGGACACAAGACACCTATCAGGCCAATGTATGTCCTTCACTCAATAGGTACCGTTTTGGCGGGAAGGTAAGGGCACTCCATGCAGTCATGTCAGCCACATGACCTTGGAGGTGTCTATGGACAACGCTGGCTCTTCGGCTTAGAAACCAACCCTCAGCGTCGGACACAACTGGACTCAATGTCAGGGGAAAACCTCTACCTTTACCTTATTATAATATTATAAATAAATGCTGGACCACTCTCACTACTAGAAAAACCCTTGAAATCCACAAGCATGTGGACAATTTCAACAGAAAGGAAACATCCATGAAAATGAACACAATCTGGCTCCCAATATTGAAAAAACTCTAAACTCAGGACAATAAATAAAAAAACAACACTCAGAAAGAATTCCAGACAGGAAACAATCAAGGCCAGCTAATCACCTCCCAACAAAGGATTCCTCCAGGCAGAAAGCAGCCAGGCTTTGAAGCTGCAGGGCCATTCAATGCTAATCAAGCTGGCCAGTGGCAACATTCACACCTGCCTCCAACAGACAAAGAGTTATTTCTCCCATCCTTGGACATCATTCCACAGATATAAAAACCCAATTTTCCTAGTTTCCAACAGACTTCACAAACTCTGCGAATGCCTGCCATAAATCACCTCTCAACAAAAGATTGCTCCAGGCACTGTCAGGCCATTATATGCTAATCAAGGTGGTCAGCTGAAACATTCACACCTAGCTCCAACAGACAAGAGTTCTTTCTCCCACCCTGGTCATTCCACAGATATATAAACCCATTTTCCTAGTTCCAATAGACCTCACTACCTCTGAGGATGCTTGCCATAGATGCAGGCGAAACGTCAGGAGAGAATGCCTCTAGAACATGGCCATATAGCCCGAAAAAACCCACAAGAACTGAGAGACTTCACAAACTCTGCGAATGCCTGCCATAAATCACCTCTCAACAAAAGACTGCTCCAGGCACTGTCAGGCTATTATATGCTAATCAAGGTGGTCAGTTGAAACATTCACACCTAGCTCCAACAGACAAGAGTCCTTTGCCCCACTCTGGTCATTCCACAGATATATAAACCCATTTTCCTAGTTCCAACAGACCTCACTACCTCTGAGGATGCCTGACATAGATGTGGGTGAAATGTCAGGAGAGAATGCTTCTGGGACATAGTGAGACAGCCCGGAAAACTCACAGCAACCCTGTGATTCCAGCCATGAAAGCCTTCGATAACAGGAAGCACTCCAAGTGGCCAGATACTGGTCAAAGGACATTTAACCGACTAGCAAACCCACAAGTTTTGTATTTTTCTATTTGTTTGCTTTGTTCTGTTAGAAAAGTAATATAATGGACTGGTTGCTCTGACACCACAAATAAATAAATAGGATGCCTGCCATAGATGGGGGAGAAACGTCAGGAGAGAATGCTTCTGGAAAACACGTGCTTTGCCCCCTTCACCTTGACGGCCATCCTTTTTTTCCTTGCGAGGTCAATCATAGGCTTGTATGGTCACGCCCCCTTGCATTTCAGCCAATAGCTTGCCTCGCTTTTGCCTTGTGTGTTATCCTATTGGTTGGGACGTTTTGGGGGCGGGGTTACAGGCTGCCTCACACCGCGCCGAGGAAATTAAACCAGCAGCCAATCACATCATTCTAGCAGCTCCTTACCGGATTGGCTGTAAACTAACGAGTGGGCGGGGAAACCGATGGAGAAGCGGATTGGCTAAAACCGAGGTCGAGAAGTCAGAGTGGACCAATTAGAGAAGAGAGCTAGGATTGCTCCCCTCCGATTGGGTAAGCTCGGCGCATGCGCCTTACCGGGTGAGTGAGGGGAAGCAAGATGGCGGCGGTGGTGGCGGCGCTGCTGCTGAGGGGAGGCCTGCGGGCCGTGGAAGGAGGCCGGAGCGCCGTGGTGGGATGCTGCCGGCGCCGGGCATGGAGGCGCCGAGGACGGGCCTTCACCACGGGGACTGCGCCGCCTCCGGTTTCTCCTCCGGTGGCCGGGACCGGGCTGACCGAGGCCCTCCTGAGGCAGCAGCAGCAGGTGAGGAGGAGGAGGCTCCCAGCTTCCTATGAGTAAAGAAAACAGGGTGTTGCCACTCTCCTCAGCCCCACACACTCCCCAAACTCAGGCCTCAACCTGGGATGGACTGCCACTCCCATCAGCCTCAGCTACTCTTATTTACTTCATAGAATCAAAGAGTTGGAAGAGACCTCATGGGCCATCCAGTCCAACCCCATTCTGCCAAGAAGCAGG